CGCCCGCTCCGTTTAATGACGCTGGCTGCCGGAGCGCTGGAACGCTCAAAACGGCGGCCGCGGGTCGTTAGCGATACGTGCACTCACGGGCAGCACACGTGGCCTGCTGCTCGCTCCTTCATCCTTCGCTCCGAATAATGAAATCGATGACGATGAAGGAGGCAGCGAGGCAGCGAGGCAGGCAGCGCTGAAGTGAGCGAGGAGGTCGCTCTGCTGCTCCTCGACGTGCCCACCGCGCCGACGGCCATGGCCGGCCTGGGCAAAGCGCTTTGCAGCGCAAGCGCGCCCGTTTAGCCGCCGGGTGCACGTGAGTGTGCCAGTGTGTGTGTGTGTGTGTGTGTGTGTGTGTGTGTGTGTGTGTGTGTGTGTGTGTGTGTGTACGCGGCAGTCATTCCGGCCCGTGCGCGGTGTGCGCTGCGCAGTGCGAGCGCTCAGGTGCACCAACATTGTGTCCGAAGTGGGCAACGGAATCGCGAGCCGCATCGACGTGAAGTGGCGGGGCGGGGCGGGGCGGGGTGGATTGAAGTCCCGGGGGCCATTCCCATTACCGCAGCATAATGGGTCGCGCTTTTGATTCCCGGGGACAATATGTTCGACGACGTTCGACGCGCCGCCCTACGCCGCCGTGCTCGAGAAGCACACGCACTTGCAGGCGCGGAGCGAAGTGTTCCGGCGCGCTGAGTGAGGCGGCGGTGGCGGCGGTGGCGGGAGTGTCCCCCGCCCCCTCCCCCTTCCCTTCCCCCTCCTCCACCTTAGTCCCGCTCGATTGTGTTTTCACTCGCCCTTTCAACGACGCGTGACGCCTAGAGCTTGATGTCGATGTCGTCCTCGGGGGCGACCCCCGAACCCCGAGCGCCCGCCGCCCGACTCGTAGCGCCCGCCGACGCGAGGTTAGGCCGTGCCGCGCCGCACCCGGACCGAGGGGTTGCCTACCTGCCAGGCTGGGCCGCCCGCTCACGCTGGCCTGTGGCCTCTCTGCCCGGCCCGCCTCCTGCTTTCTCGTCGCGTGGCGCGTTTAAAATGACGGTCGTTTGAGGCGACGGCGACTCATGCGTCTGGACCGGTCTGGACCCCTTTCCTCTCCCCTTTCGAGGGGCGGCCCGAGCGATTTTCCAAATTTATGGCGGGAAAAAAGGACGCGAGATGCGAGGCGGCAGAGGGCCTGGCGCGGCCTCAACAAAGGCGGGGCGGGCAACACTTCCGGCGCCGGATGTAGCTCTCGGTGTCCCTTCTTTATTTCGCGTGTTTGGGAGTTACTTTGGCGCGCGTGTGTGTGAGGTTGAGTCTCTCAAAGTTGCTCCGCATCCTAAGCTCTTCCGCCACCGAGTCGGGCAGTGGGCGGCAGTGGGGGAGCCCGGGCTTTAGCGTCCGATGTTCTGCCAACTTTGGCGCGGAGTGATCAAACTTATTTTCGTAACAGCGACGCACAAACACGCCCAGACGTGAGGCGGACCTGGGTGAGCGGGACACTGTTGAATCAGTGGCGCGGTCGCGGCTGTTTTCGTTAGGTGGGCAGATAATGGTGCTGACTGGCAGTTTTTATATTATTTTCGCCGACTCTCTCCGACACCCACTTTGTTTCCTTTTTCCCGTCTATTTTTCCTCTCGACGTTGGCGGCACTGCGGCCGCCCCGAGGGCCGCCCCTTCCCACAGCGCCACGCCGCGGCGCCGCGGCCGACCTGTTATATTATTATTTTCCATATCTTACGGCGCTGCAGGCGGGCGGCGGCCACGCCCCTGCCGACACGCCTCCCCCGCCACCCCCACCCCTTCCCCGCGCCGTTCCGCCGCCGCGCCGCCGCGCCGCGCAGCCCTTGCTAAAGTGAAACTTCCCCCATAAGCTTGCCGGGAGGAGCTGTAAGTGATAGCGACTGTTCCGCGCTGATATCAGACCCTTCCCGCCCCTCCCCGCCCCGCCCCTCCCCGGGCAGGGCGCTGCGGGGGGCGCTCGCGGTAAGCGCCAAGGAGCGCCAGAACAGTTATGCTGAATGGCTGAAAGGGACGGGAAAGGAAGGGCGGGGACGCCGCCAGCGCCGCCAGACTCCTCTCAGGTGGTTGGTTGGTCCCCGGGGCGCCCCGCGGTCCCGGAGTGTCGCGACTTTGGCGGACTTGGCGCATCGCGGCGCGCGGCCGGAAAGAGGCGGGGTCTAGCGACTCGAGGCCTACCACGATTGTGGTCGCATCGCCTCGTCGTCGGCCTCGTCGTCGGCCTCGTCGTCGGCCTCGTCGTCGGCCTCGTCGTCGGCCTCGTCGTCGGCCTCGTCGTCGGCCTCGTCGTCGGCCTCGTCGTCGGCTCGTCGTCGGCCTCGTCGTCGGCCTCGTCGTCGGCCTCGTCGTCGGGCCCCGTCGTCGGCCTCGTCGTCGGCCTCGTCGTCGGCTCGTCGTCGGCCTCGTCGTCGGCCTCGTCGTCGGCCTCGTCGTCGGCCTCGTCGTCGGCCTCGTCGTCGGCCTCGTCGTCGGCCTCGTCGTCGGCCTCGTCGTCGGCCTCGTCGTCGGCCTCGTCGTCGGCCTCGTCGTCGGCTCGTCGTCGGCCTCGTCGTCGGCCTCGTCGTCGGCCTCGTCGTCGGCCTCGTCGTCGGCCTCGTCGTCGGCCTCGTCGTCGGCCTCGTCGTCGGCCTCGTCGTCGGCCTCGTCGTCGGCCTCGTCGTCGGCCTCGTCGTCGGCCTCGTCGTCGGCCTCGTCGTCGGCCTCGTCGTCGGCCTCGTCGGGTCGCCGGCCTCGTCGTCGGCCTCGTCGTCGGCCTCGTCGTCGGCCTCGTCGTCGGCCTCGTCGTCGGCCTCGTCGTCGGCCTCGTCGTCGGCCTCGTCGTCGGCCTCGTCGTCGGCCTCGTCGTCGGCCTCGTCGTCGGCCTCGTCGTCGGCCTCGTCGTCGGCCTCGTCGTCGGCCTCGTCGTCGGCCTCGTCGTCGGCCTCGTCGTCGGCCTCGTCGTAGTGGCGGGCGCTGCTCGTGTTGTGCACTCGATATTTCGATATCGCGCCGCCCGCACGGCCCGCTCCAAGGGGCGCCCTAGCGGCGAGGGTGGAAGAAGGAGAGAGAACCCTTTCCCGCCCACAAAGATGGCGCGGCGGAGATGATGGGCGAGACGAGGCGGAGAGGGGGAGGGGGGTCGCCATGTGCACTCCGGCAGCAAGGGGGAGCAGGGGGCCGGCCAGACTAAAGCCGCCAGAGGGACTGCCGAAGCTTCGCAAAAGACTCCGCCGTAGGCCGAACATCTACTCGTTCACGCAGACACAAGCTTTCGCTACCCTGCAAACGGATCCCGCAATCCCGAACAATTTCCCAGAGGCGTCTGACAAACTCCCCCTTCCCCCATTCCTTTCTCTCGTTCTCTCTCCTTCGCCAAGCAGTGCCTTTCGGATACCCCGAGGGATCCCCGGGGAATCCGCCAAGGTCTCCACAAAGTCCCCGGCCTGGAGCAGCCCAGGGCAGAACGGGTGGGGTCTTCGGGGCGTGCCGAGTGGGGGCTGTGGGCTGCGGGCAGCGCGCGAAGGCGGGCCTATAACTTTGAAAACTCTTGTCTTGCCGCGGCTGCTGCTGCCGCTGTGGTTTGGGGTAACGTCGGCCCGGGGTACAACTCCTTCCGCGCGGACTGTGCCCCGCCCCGCCCCGCCACTCGCGCCTCCTCCGTTAGACCACAGCCAAGCTCAGTCCAGCCACTCTCGCTATCTCCCTCCCCCTTCTCCCTTTTTCCATCCCTGCCTCTCTCCGTCTCGGCCCATGGCGGCCCATGCCCCCCCCCCCTTTCCCCTCCCCCGGACACCTATCTCCGCCCTCGTCCCAGCCGGGGCTAGGGCCGTGGCGGCGTGGCGGGCGTGGCGTTATCGGCCCTTTCTGCCTCAGCGAATCCGCAAGTTGGTATACACGTAACGAACGCCTCCTGGAGCCAGCCCGAGCCCTGCCAGAGCCCCAGAGCCCTTGCGCGGCACAGCAGCGCGGCCCAGCGCGGCCCCCTGATACCACAGCCACCCTCCCGGCCGTGCGACGCCGTGCGACGCGCACTCATCTCCAGTGTTGCCAACCTGGAGGTCGCGCCGCCCGAAACAATGCCGGCGGCGCTGGCCAGCTTGCGCTTTGTTTCCTGCGGCCTGTGGTTCACGATGTGGTTCACGATGCGGCCCATCGGACTGATAATGGCTTTTTATCTGCGGGTTTGCAACCCTGCGCGGCGCCCTGCGTTGCGTAGCGTTGCCCTGCTTTGGCCTGCGGTCCGTATGGAAAACACCACACCCGGGCGGGCCCGGGCCCGGACCACCCCTTGCAGGCCGTTATCTCGCCGTCAAGATAACGGGCCGCCTCCCCAGCACCCAGCGGCGCACAGTGGGCCAGAAGACCGGTGGAGCGGCCAAAATTCTAGACGCGTTTTGAGCTCCAGAGTCACTAAATGAGACTCAAACCGAACGTGTGACCCCACCAATGGACTGCTCTCCGGACGAGGAATCCATTGGTGGGGTCACACGTTCGGTTCGAGTCCTGTTTAGCGACTCTGGAGCTCAAAACGCGTCTAAAATTTTGGCCGCCTCCGCCGGCTTCTGGCCCACTGTGCGGCGGGGTGCGGCGGGGCCGCGGGGCGGCGGGGCGGCCCCCACCGCAGGCAAGGCGCTTTCAACCTTCAACTTTGTATCGACACTGGTAAAACAAAGGCATAAAAATTACGCCCTTTAGGGCATAAATACTCTTTTACGCCCTTGCAAGGGCATAAATCGTTCTATGCCCTTGGGAAGGGCGTAAATGGTATAGGAATTTCAAGAAAAATTTTAATTCCCTTCCCAAAGGCATTAACGATTTATGCCCTTTAAGGGCGTAAATCGTTTACGCCCTTTAAGGGCATAATTTTTATGCCTTTGTTTCACCAGTGGAGCGCTGTGTGTGTCTGCAGGCAACCCGCGCGCCAGCTGCGGCACCTGTCTTACCTGGGGCTGCGGCGACGATGCGGCGATGCGGCGACGATGCGGCGATAGATGGACAAATGATGGATGGACTCGCTCGTTGTTTGTTGCAGTGATGGACCTGGACAGCGTGCAGAGCGACGAGACGGCGTCTGGGGGCGACAACTCCAACCCCGGCTCCTGCGCGGGCGGCGAGGACGACCAGGCGCGGCTCCGGCTCAAGCGGAAGCTGCAGCGCAACCGGACGTCCTTCACCAACGAGCAGATCGACAACCTAGAAAAAGGTAATGCGCCCGCCGGCCTGCCGCCGGCCTGCCGGGGTCGCCGAGGCGTGAGGGCCAAGCGGCGCGTGCCAGCCGGCTGGGTTGGAGGGTTTGATGTGGTGTCTTTGGGATTTGGCGGAGCCAAAGCCGGGGCCCCGCTATGAGTTTCAAGTTTCAAGGCGCGGCCCACGACTTCTCCGCGGGCGGCGGGCGAGCAACATCGACTTATCGATAGTCGATTTTCTCTGGCTAAACTGCCTTCCGACGACCCCAAGTCGAGCCGTGCCCCCCCCCCCCCCCCCCGGCCCTGCCGCGCGGCGCCGCGTCAACTGCAGCGCTTCCCCTTTAGGGAACCTTGAGGAAAATGGGGCCTGGCCGTGGGACGCCGGGACGGCAGCCAGACGTCTTCCCTTTGTAGATAAAGGCAGGAAAATGCGAAGACGTGAAGCATGAAGAGAAAAAGAGCTCGCCGGGGATTTGGGGGCCTTGTTTCAGTCAAAGGCACAGCGCTGCTTTGAACCGCTGCAAGAATAAACAGTGTGGGACATCATGCTGAGAAACATGGTTTTCCTTTCCAGAATTCGAGAGAACGCACTATCCGGACGTCTTCGCCCGGGAGCGGCTGGCGAGCAAGATCAAACTGCCCGAGGCTCGCATCCAGGTGAGCCACTCGCCGTGCTAGAGCATGGCCAGCCTGGCGCCGCCCACTCCCAGCGCCTTCAGCCTCCTGCATTCAAGTTTCTCATTCCGTTCGCAGGTGTGGTTCTCGAACCGGCGGGCCAAGTGGCGCCGCGAGGCCAAGGTGCGCGACCAGCGCCGCATGGAGCCGTCCTCCGGGGGCGGGGGTGTCCCCGGCGGCCCCGGAAGCGGCCCCAACTCCGGAGCGCCACAGGGCGCGGGGACGGGCGCGGGGGCGACTCCGGGCGTGGACTGCGGCTCAGTGGTCGGCCAGGGCGTGGGCCCGCCGACGCCCGGCTCGGTGACGCCCGTGGGCAGTGTGTCGCCGCCCAGGACGCTGATGAACGGCGGCGCCAATGCCTTCAACTGCTACTCCAGCATCACCAGCATGGCTGACTCGTACAGGTACGCCCACGTCGTGGCCCCGGCTTGCCTGCGGCTTGCCCGGCCCCGACGGTGCCGCCGTTCCCTCCTTACGAGCGGGCGAATCGGGCGCCGTGTGCTAACTGTGTCCTCGTGTTGCAGCGCCATGTCGCCGATGTCCACCTTCAGCATGTCGGGCACGCACCCCAGCCACGGCATGGGGCAGGGCATGGGCCACGGCCACGTCCCCAGCCCCGGCTGCGCGGCTGACTTGGTGTCCACCTCCTCGGGCATGGGCTCCATGATGTCGGGCGGCGTGTCCTGCGTGCCGCAGCGCGACTCTCCCTCGCCCTACTCCTGCATGCGGCCGCACTACGAGACCCTGGGTCTCTCCAGCGGGCTGTCTGGCGGCTTGTCCAGTGGGCTGTCCAGTGGGCTCTCTAGTGGGCTGTCTAGCGGCCTGTCCGGCGGACTCTCGGGCGGGCTGTCCTACGGCAGTCGGCCGTCGCCGTGCTCTATGCAGACTTACCACCACCAGTACGGATCAGCGCTCAGCTCGGCGGGAGGATCGTCAACAGGTGAGGACCACGGTGGGGACGGTGACAATCTTCGATAGCCTCACGGTGACGGGCAAATGTAATTGCTGGCGCGGCGCGCCGCGGTCGGCTGGCAGGCTGCGGCTGCACTGCAGGCTAGGCGAGGACGCCGCGGAGATACCCCACGCCTGCCACCCGACTGCCGGCGTGCCGACCGCCGCGCGCTCTAGCGGCAGATGCCGCTGTGGGAGGCATGGAGTATGCGCAAGACGTGCAGCTTACTGAGCTTCCCTCAACTCACTCAACCTTATCTCTGTTTGTCTGTCCAGGTCTAATATCGCCAGGAGTGTCCGTCCCCATCGCCGTCCCCGGTCAGACGCCGGGTCCCGACATGTCGGCGCAGTACTGGCCGCGTCTGCAGTGACAACGAAGGACAGTCCAGCCCGCATTTTGCCCTCCCATGTGTTAAATTAAATGATAAAGTTAGCCATTTCCCACTGGATGAGATAGATACGGCCCCGCAGTCAATGTAATCACGCACAGCACGCCTGTGCATAGAATGTGTTTTAAAGTGAATACCCTCTAGGTGGTCCTTTGTTGGATCCTTAAGTTATAACCTGATTTTCACTTGAAATAATGTTGTTGTTATTTGTTTTTTAAAAAAGGAAGTGTATGGTTTCCTACTCTACCACCGTTTTGGATTTAAATCCGTATTTGTAAGCATACGTCTTGAATTTGGTATGGTGGTTGTTTCCAAAGATTTCCTTATTTTGTTTGGCAATGTGATGATATGTTTATAATTACGCCACGATTCCCCTTGCCGAAAAATAAGGCGGGCCGTGGTACCCATTGTACCCATCAGGAGGAAATAATAAACAGCAAGTGGTTGTTGCCGGTCCAGAATGACAAGCCCAGGGCAATTCGGATTGGTGATGCACTAGTGTCAGCGGTGTGTCTTCAGTGTTGTGATCAGGGTCCCCGCAGCCGCCGGCGTCCTCCGTGTCGGACGTGTCGGCAGTGTGCAAGTGATACCCCTCGGGGATGGGCTGATGTCGGACTCAGGGCACCAGCGGCCGAGAGGGAAGCCCCGTGGTGATAGTCTTGCGGGCCAGGCCCATCTGAGATCGGCAACGACCTTGCCACCTTGAAGTGGTGATTCACCAACGCGATGCCATCCGGCGACGAAACACATAGATTAAATACAAAAACTGTCCCAGTGTCTGTACCGCTTTAGTCAACACGATACTAGATTGCCATGTTCATAATCGCATTGGTAAATTTCTTTGTCAGTGCAATGTTTAATTTTGTGGTGTAGTGCTGAGTAAGAAGAAGATGCATATTAATAATATATGATGTTTAAGGTGATAAGATGGAATTTATTCCTTTTCTCGTGATATGCTTGCAATCTTAGGAGATATATGTAGAGCACACTGCTGTCAGTGCACTTTGTAATCCGTAAGTGAAGAGAAAGTGGTGTGTTCTAGATTATACATAATTATTTCCCCAAGTCAAGCAAACAACTTGGTTGTCTTGCGTCGCCCACGTTGTTCTTATTGTAGAATCTGTTCAAAAAAATATTTAAAAAACAAAGTGATTATACTTATATAATGTAAAAACTATTGTAATTTTTAAAAGAAGATCCCGCTGTGAATTTAGAAGCTCCTGTTTCTGAATGTTATTGATGATCTCTTGACCAAATAAATATGTGAATTTTTATCAATCCACGATGCATCTTTTTTAACCCTTCTGCATGCCGGCGCCGAGGGTAGGCAACTCAACCAACAGCAAATACCATGAAAAAGTGAAATTTGAGAGAGCTTTTGGCTTTTTGCACACACAGCTACAATCTGCGTCAATGCGTCTTGTAGCCCTTCGCGTACGAAGCCAAAGCTCTTTTGAATTTCGCCTTTTTACAGTGTTTGCTGTTGGTTGAGTTGCCTACCTTCGGCGCTACCCCAATCCAGCACAAGGCTGTCAATTTTTGACATTTTTTCTGAGGCCATGACCGAAAAGCGATGCAACTCGAAAACGAACTTTAAAATTCTTTGAAATTTACTGATGCCTATCCAAAATTACAAAAAATGTACAAATTTGCTGAGGTCTGCCGAAAATGAATCGAAATGTACACATCACATATGACCCCCCCCCCCCCCGTTCCCCCCGGTTCTTCTCATGAGAATTCCCCCTCCATCCGAGAGGCCGAGCCCAACACGCAGCAGCCCCCCCCCCTTCCCCCCCCCCGGTTCCCCCTCACTTTCACTACGGCGGAACAGGGCGGGGGAGGAGGAGGAAGGGGGAGCGGAGGAGTGGCCGGGGCCAGCCGCTTTCCACAGCGCGCCACGCTAGCTCAGCGCCTCGGCGTCGTGCGTGGACTCGAGTGCGCTGCGGCGCACTGCAGGACCTTCTGGTCGCTCCACGCTCTTCGCCGAGGATGTTCGCGGCTGTACGGCGACAAGGCCTGCCATCTTTCGCTATCTGCACTGCAAGCTGTCAACACCATGGGCTTCAAGAGCGGCCGCAAAGACTCTTCAGGTACTATGCGTCGTGAACTATTCCCGGTCAGATTTACATGTTCAATACGACGTATTTGATGAAAAATCCATCGATTCTGCGACTAACCGATGTCGTTCCGAACACCTTATTCTGGCTTGATTGAGGTCGTTCCCTAAAATCAAGGCGGGGGGGCGATTTTTTTTTTTTTTTTTTTTTGGGGGGGGGGGGGGACGGCCCCAGAGAAAGACCTAAACGAAAGTGATGGTGATGCCTTGTTGCAATGCGTTCCGGAGAAGCGGTGCCGATGTTTCGATAGCAGTAGCAGCTGAGACGATTGTGTGCGTTCATCCCGTGACTTTGGCTGGTGGACTGTCCCTGCAGCGCGACCCGTTGATGACGGCGACGAGCTTCTCCGGCAACTCGTCTCCTCCCTGGAGAACGAAGCCCCGTACGTGTATCTCGAGAAGGACAACCATGACCAGGGGCTGGCCCAAACGCAAAATGGACTGCCTCCATGGTTTGACGAGGAGAGATTCAAACGGTAAGCTTTCCGCCAGAAGGCATGCACCCCACACGGCAGGGCTGCCAGTTGGGTTGCCTAGCCTAGCGCCTGCAGTGCACTAGCTTGAATGAGAACAGTTGAGCACTAATTCAATTTGGAATTTTTTGGCGCCAGGGGTGTGGAGACATTTGAGAAAAACATCTTTCTCATGTTTACCGGTAAAATGGCCGGACTGTTGACCCTGTTGGCCGTGCCCACCATCGTGAAGGTGTTGGTGCTGACTAAGAAGTCAGAAGAACCGGTCAAAGCTTTCAGAAGATATGTGGACACTATCAGACACATGCTGTTCTGGTACAGGTCGAGTCTGAAGGATCCTAAATCTCTGTGAGTATGAATCTTAATTACAATGTTAAAAAGACAATGGACAGAGAAATAATCCATGAGCCACCGTTGAAATACTTCTGAAGCGAAACTCAAAATACGGAGGAGAAGTGAAGCCAGATTGTCCTTCCCTTTTGCCAGAGCTTTTGAGAGAGTATAACCACAGCATCTGCCTTCATGACCCTAGGAGCCACGAGTCACTGGCGGTTGTACGCGGGCACCACCTGCGGGGGGCCGCGGCAGCTCGGAGAGCCGGTCTACCGGGCATCTCCCAGCTGGACCTGGTTCTGACTCAGTTCGCCTTCTGCGGCATCGCCGTGGTGCGACGGAAACTACTGCACCTGGACGCCAGCGACCAAGACGTATTGGACTTCATGCACGTCTGGAGGACGCTGGGGTGCCTCATAGGCATTCAAGACCGGTTCAATATCTGCCAGTTCGACTACGACATCAGTGCTACTGATGGTGTTTTGGAAGAAGTGTGCACAAGGTGGCTGGGGCCTGCACTGCTCTCCCCACCCCCAGAGTTCGCTCAAATGTCACATGCTCTTCTGGAAGGATCATGGTGCATTATGCCGGTCTTAGAATACTCATCATTTCTCAACTTCACTCAGGTACGAAGTTTATCTGATTTAATCCAAATATGAAGTCAACAGGGGACCTAATAATCTGCTGTGTTACAGGAATTAATAGGAATTCCTCAGCCACAACGAACTGAGCCTCCAAACTCATACAGCTCATCCCTTCTGTACTTACTTCACATTGTACCTTCCACGATGAACTGGCCCATAATTGGCAAGTTCATAAGAATGTATCACAATGCGAACATGCATTTCTCTTTGTACATGTCAACATACCACCCATTATTGGCATGGTATTCGTTTCCTCGCAATACTACCACCCAATACAAAATACTAGTTCCAAACGAAGCCTAAGGTTGAATGAGCCAAAGACTGTTAGCAAACCTTGTCAATCAAATTAAAAACTTAAAGTGTGTAAAATATAACGGAGTTCTAAAACAACAGGGCAAGTATAAATAAATAAATGAAACAGTGTTTTTTAAATCTTATATTACGAAAATTACAGATTACTTCTTGGCTGCTGGTTTTGATTTGGCAGAAGCCTTCTGTGCCTTCAACACCTTTACTACAATCTTCTGTTCTTCAATAAGGAAGGCTCGGACAATCCTACAAGAAAAACAAAGAATATCAGTCAACCAACCAATCAATCAATTCAGGGAACCAAAGAGTATTAATTAGGGTGAACAAACTTTCACAGTGGTAAACAAGACCAACAAACTACGTAATTATTCTCAGTAAAACATTGACGGCCAGGCACAAACCAAAATTAGATACTTTAAAGTTATGATTAGACTACTAAACTTAATCTGGCAAGTAAGTGCAAATGAACCCACTGAGTTGTGTACTTTAAAAGTTACAGTGCCAGTAATGAAAAAACAACAAAAAAAAATACATTACAAAATACAAAGGATAATATTGTTAGGAAGAGTCTACACATGACTAGAAGATAGTTCATGGGCACCAATATCAATGCAAGACCAGACAGTGAGTGGCGATTTCTTACCTTTCCTTGACGCACTTGTGGCAAAGGACTCCACCATAAGGGCGCTTCACAGTCAGAAGTCCCCTGGACATGCGTGAACGCTCCATTGGCCTGGCAGGGGTGATGCCTCTGAGGGAATCCTTGCACTGACCGCATGATGGAACCTTCCCCTTCTTCTTCAGGTACTGGTACACAAGTTTGCCACCGGGTGTTCGGACACTGGCAAACAAAACGAGAGCAAATTAAACCTCAAAATGAGTAGAAGAGTGTTAACTATCTACAAACAGAGAATTGTGCAGCATAACCAAATCCAATTCTTATAAGAAAATGCTGAAATGAGACATCAATGAGGGAGGCAAATATGGAACATAACTGATCTGTTTACTTTGAGAAACTGGCATGACACATCGCCCATAATAAAGGACTTGGTGCGCAGTTGAAAGAAGTCGCACTAATCCCCTCGAGAAATGAAGAAAGGGACTAAAACAAGCGAGGCAATCGGTTCTGCTCATGGTTCTAAGAATGTTTTGGAAATGATGGCGTCACACTTTTTTGGAGGTTAGCATTGCCGGCTTAAGAAGAGCAAATAGAAGAGAGACTGACGAAGCATGATAATAATATTGGAACCGTTTGTAGGTCCAATGAACTAACCGATACAAGAGAGTTGAAAATACTCACGCTTTCCTTTTGTTGCTCTTGGTGTTGTACGACAATCGTCGTCGGTAAACCAGGCGTTGCACCATCTTGGGGGAGAGCTGAATACAGAGACAACAAGAAATTCAGAGAACGTTCGAAGGTATTTTCCAAATCTTAACCAAGTAAATCATACAAATGGAAAAGTTCGAGGATATTGGAAAACACAAACTTTGCCGATTCGAATGGATTAAAAGAATTTCACGACAGAAACGAACACTACACACCTACAATCCACGTACCGGAAATAGAAAAGGTTCAAGCGAGACGTGCTGCTCTTCTTCTTCCTCCACCGCACTCCGCCTTTAAACAAACGAAAGGACCCTGTTAGGTTCCTTGTCTTCTTTTTAGTTTTAGCTTCCTCGCCTCTTTTCTCAAAAATGGCTGTAAAAGTTGCAATAATAACAATGTCACTTAGTAGGACTTCGCTTTTTATATCGTCCATTTATTGAACTTAGGAAATCATATTTTCGTGAAGAAAAGGCGAAAGGGGCGGAGTAAGTGTGTGTGGGTGAGAGAGTGTGTGTGTGTGTGTGATGTGAGAGAAAGAGAGAGAGAGAGGGAGAGAGAGAGAGTAAGGAGAGTGGGCGGCAGTGGGAGGGGAAGAGAGAAAAATACCTCTTCTTAGTGATATGTTTTTAAAAGATACCTTATGGTTGGATTGAATGTAACTCATTTGTAACTGTTTACACTATTTTGAAGGTACTGTACTCGCACACAACCAAATGATGTTAAGTTTACTCCTCCATCCTAAATGTAAACTCTGTGCCACGAGTTCAGGACACTATCCAGGAACAGACGATTTGCCCCACATTTTCCCCACAAGATTTTACTCGGGTCGTGTCTCTAACTTTATGCCTATTGTCTAAAGTTACTTATTCTGGAGATCTTTTCTTAGTGCACGTAGTTTGCTCTTTCTGTGTCACAAGGTTCAGACATTTCCATTCGTTTTATTACCACACTGGATTGAGGTTATGTCACAAACTCCGAAGCTGCTTCCTTCATGTCTGCCTGCATTTTCCTTTTCAGGTACTTTTCAAGCAACATGGCCATGGATCAGAAATCGAAGAATATTGACTGCTATTTTTATTTCTATTCTGAATGTGTTAGGGTAAGGAACGAATAATTTCTGTGACATCCAAGACATTCAATTATTTGATACGTTTTTCTTTGGGATCCTTTTTATTACCATTTGAATCCAATAATTCATTAACATCTCATACCGCAGGGAAATTTCTGCAAATTTCGACATGAACCGGCTGCTCTTGGCTGTGAAGATGTGTGCATGAAATGGAAGGACGGCAATTGTACAGAGGCACATTGCAGTCTACGTCACATGGAACTCAAAGTAAGTAGTCCTTGTTTGAACTAACTTCATGACTGTCTTATTGGGTCGTAATTCAAATGTTTTTTAATTTGCATTCAAACAGAAAAAGAGGAAAGAAATCCCATGCTATTGGGAAAAGCAGCCAGGAGGCTGTCGTAAAGCTCATTGCGCATTCAAACACCAATCTAAATCAACACAAGGTGAACTTCCCAACTCTCCAGAAGGCTCCAACAAAGAACCAGAAACATCAGTGCCAGACTGGCGGAATGGTAAATATTCTGAGCAGTTTATATTATTTTAAACCAGCTTTGCTATCATATGTATTTTCTTTTTTTCAAACAAGAAAAATTAAAATCTTGAATTATTGTCTAAAAAATATCAAATTAACCATTTTTTATTTTTATCTTTGTGCTTGGTTTTTACAGCTAAATTGGAAGGTGCTGCAAGTATGGAGTCCACATCCACACCTGAGGCACCTATTGCTGAAACATCACGGCGTGTGAGCCAAGGTGCAGCTGAAAGCTACAACTCATCTCCAGCTGCCGTTGAACCAATTGTAGTCAACTTTGAAGAAGGTATGCGATTGTTTTGAGAGGTTTATCTCACATTTGTAGAGTGTGTGTGTTTTTCCTTTCTGCTGTTGTATTCTCATAGCCTTCAAGGTAAATCAAGAATCACATTCAATGTTTGTTCTTCTCTACCCCACATTGCTGAACCTCTTTCATGATATGAAATTTCTGGGAAATTTATTCAATTAAGTGCCAAAATAGAGGACAGATCAAGAGTATGCAAGAGAAATCAATTAGTATGTTTCTGTTGATTCTACTCTCTCGCTATACTCTCTTGCTATTCTTTACATGATAAAATATAAGAAGAGTGTTCTCACTTTAACCTACGTGTTTGGTATTATTTAAAAAGTAGGCCCAGTTCACTAGCATTTTCTCCCCTTTATTTACTCTTTCAAATTTTTGTACTTTTTCCATCTGTTATTTATTAATCAAATTAGACGTTTCTTTCTGTTTGGTTTCATTTCTCCTATTTATATGTGTCTGTTATTGAGTCACATTTGTTTGAATGTATCAAGTGCAATAATTAATTGGATCTAGGTGAGTGTGGTCTTCCATCAACATTTGCTTGTTCTTCACCACCTTGAAATTATTTTAAGGTGGACAGAGCACTGTTGAGCTAAGTGTCATTTAATTAAGGGTTAGCTTCTAACTCCAATTGTACAAGAGTTTGTACTATTGGAATGTGGATGCAGTGTACTGGAGATGACTCTAATGATTCAGCTGTGACCATCAAAATGGACTAGGGAAACCCACTTCTTGAAGGGCAAGGTCACTGCTCCCTCAAATCAAATTGATTGACTGACAGCCAATCTCACTCAGCTCAAGTTCGGGTCATGACACTGGCACTTTATTTTGGCCTTTCCCTAAGTTTTCTGATATTTTTAATAGTAATTCTATGTTACACTTTTGGAGAAGAAAGTATTTTGAGATTGAAAAAACAAACCTTGTTTGAATATCAACAACCTTATCACCTTGAATCTGCACTTCTTATCTCTCAAAGACTTCTCATCAGTCTTGTTCTCTAGATTCATTTTAATTTGTGCGTGCACATAATCTATTCACTCGAACGTGTGTTAGTGTTCTTGTTTTTTTCTTTTTCTGATTAAATACTTTCTTTTCAGTTTTTTCTCTTCTCAATTTTGTAACAAACTTGCATCTTCAGTTAAACTGTAGTTTAACTGTCTGATCTCCAAAAACTGATTATTAATGGCGTTCCGAAAACTTTTATTCGTACTGTTGCTGTCTTATTGCTGTTCTTACTTTTGTTAATTGGAAAGGAGCAGACCTCTTAAAGTGAGCAAAGTGAAAGTTTTTGGAATTATAGGGTTTGTGCGTATCAGGCCAAGCCTCTAGGTCCTTGGTATGATATCTGCTTTCAGCTTATCAGATGTAAAAGTGGAGTATTTTTCAAGACAAACCCAAACACAATGAAAGTGGTGTGAACATGAAAGAAAGTTCCCTTATATTAAATGCAATAGATTGGTTATTATGGGACTAGCCTAATAACTTCAACAATGCCGTTTGATCAGACTGAATTTTTTATGTGTGTTTTCCTCACATTTTTTTCTTTTTTTAAAAAAAATTGAGGCGTGTTGATTGTTATTTATAGAGCCAAAAGTTGAGATAGTATGATAAGAAATTTTTGGTCTTATCTTCTCAATGTCTCTTGGCCTCCCTATTTTCTTGGAGTGTTGGTGAATGACAAGCTAGCACTAAGAGTAACAGATAGTACTCTATATGTGTAAATATTTATCATTATCTATATTTATATTTTAACTATCTATCATTTATACAGCATCACACTGTTCATCTAGTTTCTAGTTCACATATGTTTGGACTTTCCAAAATCTCTTGCATTGGAAAGAAGAAAAGTGAAATGAATTTGAAGTGACTTGATGATACCTTATTTCAATGAAACCAATGAAACTTGCGTTTTCAATGTTTCTTCTGTAAGGAATGAATATTTTCTGTTGTATTTTATGCATAATTCTTTTTTATTGTCTTGTGTTTCTCAGAATGGTATACCAAGGATCCTTACCTTAAAAGCCATATTTACCAGACTTCAATGCAATAACCTGTTTTTTCCTTCATTTCTTGTGTCTTAAATTTTCGTTGCGCCCCTGTGGATCTTTCTTCAGGGTTTGAATAAATTTTATGTGGGGATTGAAGATTTCACAAATGAGTGGCAAGTTGTTGTGTCATGACTGCAATGTAATAATAAGTTTTCTTTCTTAAGTGACTTAACGGACTTCAATGTCCTTGTGCTCGGAGGGGTGTACTATTGCCATCCTCTCATATTTATTCTGCCTATTTCCTTCTTGTGATTTTGCTACTTTCTAACACTTTCATCATGTGTAGAACCAACCACATGATATTTTAGGCATTTACCTAAAGTATTGATATTTGGTCATTTGTGCAGCTATTTTTTTAAAACGCTCAATTTAGAGAACTTGGATGCTGTCTTGATGTATTTCAACTGAAGGTATCTTTTTACCATGCCAATTTCTTCCAGAATGTCTTAAATTTCTTCTGGAAATTACTTTGGCAATGCTATGATGTCATATCGGAAGCATTTCTTTTTCCTTTGTTGTACAAATCAACTTATTTATTTAATTTACTTAATTTTTTTTAAGTTTGTTGGCTTGATTTTGGACTAAAATAAGCTTGTTCTTGAAGAAAATCAGTTCGGTACTGCTGTATTTGCATATTTCTTATCCCCTGCATGTGTCAAGTTGCTCCACAATTTTCTTCACGAATAGGCTATTTTATTACAAACTTAATATTGTTAGGTTCATCTAAAAATTGGATTTGTTAATATGTCAAAATGGGCTTGAATTAATATTGATTCCTTTTTGTTTAATAACAATTCAAACTGTGTCTAGGTTTGCTCAAGTTTGCATGGATTTGAAGTTGCTAAGGACTAACAAACTTCAAGTCCATTGTGTATTTCAAGAATCTCAACTTTATCCCTAATTCAGGAATGGGTCAATGATGTCAATTTGATATCGTATTGATAGAATTGTCTTATTGAAGTCATTTGAGGATCCCATCTCTGATGATTTTTTAGCAAATCTGTATGTCTTCTGCCCAATTTGCGTATTTCTTGCAACTAGTCAGCTTTTCTTATCTTCCGTGTAGCTTTATCATAAATTTTAGCCTTTTATTAAGTTTAACTTTGTAAAGTTCAAATTGGTGGTAATGTTAATTTTTTCAGCTATCTTGAAAGCTTGAAAGAGTGATGATACACTGGATATGGTATTTTTCATAAACATTATTATTGCAATCTTTGAAGAGCTGCATTGTTTTTTTTTTTTTCATGAAATAAGCATTGCACTGTTTTTTGTTTTTGTAAACAGGGTCTTGATTCTCGATTTTATGTTCTCGGTAGAATGGATTCTCTTTAAAGTTTAAATTCTTACTCAATACTTATATGGATATTTATTTGCAAAATGCTTGTTTAGTGTAGCCTGTTGGACTTAATGACAATCACACTGCAAACCTAACTGTCTACTAAGTACACACTTACAAATGCATGCTTGCAAGTACACACTTACAAACGCATGCTTGAAGCATGGAGTTATACGGCGTGTGTACTTGGCCAAGCATGCGTTTCTAAGTGTGTACTTGCAAGCATGCATTTGTAAGTGTGTACTTAGCAGACAGTTAGGTTTGTAGTGCAGTACTGTAAATTGGTAAGATCTGCAGATTTATAAATTGTGGCAAAAAAAATTTCCTTGCCCAACTTTGTGAGGTAGCTATTGCATTTTGATCTCTTGATTGTAGCAAAACTTTGCAGGGTGGCCTGCATACCCACACTGGTTTTGGAAAGAGTCAACTTATACCTCCATACGGTACCTGGAGGATGCATTATTCAAAAGCCCATCTTTCATTGACCAAAGAACCATTCTGGAGCAATTGTAATTAATAGAAAAGAGAGGAAGAAAATTTGCTGCACTTTACCTGTTGTCTACCTCTAAAAGTAGTATAGGCTATTTTGTCGGTCAACCCTTGTCAATTTAAAAAGGGGCAAATTATGAAAGTTTTTTGCATTGAAAAGGCTTGACTCTGTGACTTGATAGTTAGTACCGATAGCTCTGAATTCCTTAAAACACTGTCACTCCAAATCAACATCCACCACCATCTTAATAAAAGTATTTGAGTTCTATTCAGTACTGAAAATATTAAGTTTCCACTCCCTTTGTTTTATGTCTCTCTTTTTCAAGGGGCGGAGGAGGAGCTGCTGAATTCTGCTATGTTTGAACCGATTTTTTAAATCTTCTGTGTCATGAATGATAAGAAATGTCTATTCACTTTAAACTATTCAAACGTTCCAAGAAGCTATTGACTCACAAAGGCCAAAGGTATTACAGCAGAAATCCAGAGCTATTTTGCACCCTGTGTACATTTTCAAATATGCCCCTCCCCCCCTTTAAAAATACGTATAAAAATGTTTTATGGATTTGGTGAGAGGTTGACCTTAAACGTTGTTCAAACTTCTGCTATTGTGAGTGTTTTCTTGTTTTGTTTTTGACCAAGATTTACTATGAAGTGTGTGTGCCTTACTTTTGTATGTCTAGGTAATATGTCAATCTAAAAATTGCTTTCCTTGGTTAATGTGCAAAGCTATTTTGTTTAGAGATGCCATCACCTCCGTCGAAACAACTCGACCTTTGTGTTTATGTTAACCTTATGATTTGTCTTTTTCTTTCCCCTGATAGTCATAAGGAGAGGTTGATAATAAATATAAATGGCCTCATCAACTTTTTGTTTTTCTTTGTTCTTCATCATTGGGTTTCTTTTATGTGTTATTGACTTTGCATTTTTCATCTCTGAACTGCAAGAATTCACCTCTTTTGACTATTAGTGCACAATATTGGTCATGCATTTGTTTCATTTCAATTTGGAAGCATCTGTTGATCAACTCAATGTTGATTGATTCAATGGGATCATATTATTTCATATTGATTATTGCAGTTTCATTTTTCATTTGACAGGTTTAGTTAAAATCATGACAGTACTTTGAAAATGCTTCCCAATAGTTGGCCTTGGAAGCTTAATCAGTGTGGCAGTGGCTTGTAATTTTATTTTCCACTCGTGTTTCATGTCTAGGTGAGGGAATATTTGATTGCTTTCAGTCAGTATAAAAACTAATGGCTTTTGCTGGGGTGGTGTTCTTGCAGAATCAGATTCAGAAAGTGCCCCATCCTGGACACCAACTAAGATGCCGAAGGAGAAGGAGACATTACATGTAAAGACGCTGGAGGAGATTCGTCTTGAAAAGGTCCAGGCGGAATCAGCTGCATACTGGGAAGGGATAGCTGGGGGACCAATGGCATGGGAGGCAGCCAATCCAGCTGCAAACCCATCAGGCAGTCCTTGCAGCATTATTTCGGGTGTGCGGAAACCCAGTAACTCATCTACAAATGCATCTAGTTTTAAGAAATCAAACATTAACACCAAAAATGTGACTAAAGAATTGGACTTTCAAGTTCTCACCCTAGATGAAATAAGAAAAAATCGAGCAAGAAGAACAGATTTCAGAAATGGAATGGACAATAGGAGATGTAACATTAGTTCCCAAGCAAAACCATTGATAAATGGTCATTCCAACCAACAATCAGAGGATTGTAAATCCCATTCAGATATGAATGACCTGAGATCAAAACTCTCTAGCGCTAAGCCTTTTGATAGATCAGACAATTCAAATGTAAGTGACACTTTAAGTTCTAAACGCCAACGTCAAATATCTCCTCCAAGTGGGCCTAACAAGAAACAAAGAATTAGGCTTAGGAGACTAAGTGAGATGATAGGTGACAAGGAGACAGGAGACAAGTTAATGAGAAGCATGAAAAGCGATGGAGTATATGAAGAATTGGACAGTGATAACAATTTTCTTAGTGACATTGATAAACTTTTGATGGAGTTGGAATGAGTTTATTTTATTCCATTCAAAGGTACTGGTTGCACTTAGTAGGCCTAGTGAACCGGAATACTAAAATTGACTCATCTGTTTTGTTATCACAAACTCTCTTGTATGTCATGTATAAGATATATATATATTCCACTTGCTGGCAGAAATTGTTGAAAGTTCTAAAATGAAACTCCTATTTTTATTTTTGGTGAAGGACTTTCCACAACGGTCTCTTGATTTCTTCTGTGATTTTACTGACTCCCCTGTCTAGCGTGTAAAGGACTTACTTTTCTCTTTTGAAGTTGTGGCCAAATTTTGTTGAGTTATAAATATTTAGCTTTTCTAAGTTATGTATGTGTTTGACATTAATTTACAGGCGTGCTAGTAGCCTTTTTTCTTGTTTTTCATTTCTTTCAGGTATAACAGTACCTGTTTGCATAGCTTTCTTTAAATTTTTCTTCCCTTTGCTTTAAAAATTTGCAGTTTTGGTTCAACTTTTATCGTTCACCTGCATTGCAGTGATCATATTTGTGAGAAACTGATAAAGCCATGTATTTATCAGGGACTTTTTTTTTTCACATCATGTTAGTAAAGAAGATTAGCAGAGATAATTTTTCCCCTGAAAGCTATTGTTGACTTGGTTGCATTTTTTTTATTGTGCCCAATCCTGCTGTGATATGTTAGCACATAAGTTTTTGAAAATAGAGATTTTGCAAGTCCCATAACATCTTCCATGGATTAAGATGGGACCATTTTTTCTTATTTGCAAATTGTTGCCGCCCTCATTATGGTTCCTGAATTGTCACATTCATATATTAAACCATACAAGGTGTGAATGTCCACTTACATCAAATGGAAACTCATTGATATTTACATTCTTTTGTGTGTTTGTGAAGGAAAAAGCACTTTTAAAAATGTTTGTGTGTTTCTTGGTAAATTTGTTAGCAATTTGTTTCTTAATAAACTCCCCCTTTTTTTTTAAATTTACAGTGAACATTGAATCTTCTGTCCTTGTAACTCAACCCAATACATTGTGGAGTAGAATTAGAAAAAGAAACACGTTGCCACCACTACTTTATATTTATAAACAACTGGGCACTTCAGGTAATCTTGAGAGGAGCAGGTTCTAATTATTCTTAGAACTATTCTTGTCCTGGGAACTATTCTTGTCCTGGGAACTATTCTTGGAATTATTCTCAGATGTGCCTAATGACCTCTCAGTGGCAGCATCAGAGAACTTTTGAACAGCTGCCTGGAACTTCTTTGTTTCCTCTGGTAGATTCATTAAATTGATAGGAATCTTGTCATTGGGGTCATTCAGAATGGTGTAAGGATTAACATCATATCCACTTTGTTGCACAGTATTTTCAACAAGAGTATAAACTTTAAAATAATCAACCAAATTGCCTGGAACAAAGAACACAACATGTCAAAAAAATATGATCAAGTTGCATTAATCAGCATGTGCGAACTCAAGACCCTAAGTAAAAACCTATTTTTACAGACCAAAAAACACAGGAGTTCATAACTTATTATAACTCACCTACATCCTTCTCACTTAAATTATACTGAAGTGCAAGGCTTTTAATGCTGTCCTTTTCTTTATCTAATTGATATTTTGAAAGTAATTGTAAAGCTTGCTTCAAAGTCAACCGTCCGGGCGTTACAGACTCAGGTTCTACATAACCATATTCAAGATATTCAGTTTTACGTTGGAGAGGAAGTGGTCTGTTTGGATTGGCATCTGCCTCTATTTTGTCAAGTGGCTGAAGAGAACAAAAGCATTGTCTTTACGGAACAATGAAGCGATTTGTGTAAGTAAACGACAAAGTAAATAAAGTTACCGGATCCTCTGAAGATACATAAACCTTCTTTAATCTAGTAAGAAGTTCTTCATTGCGCTTATTTATTTTCTGCATTAAATCTGGCATTTCTGGAAAAGAGAGAGAAGTAAGTCAAAATCTTGGACCTCAGAGTATTTCCTGAGATGTTGCATAGTAGCAAGAAGTGGTGAGGTGACATTTTAAATTGAAACACCTGTCAGTTGCCTGGTCATCAGTCTTTTCGACGAAGTCACACAGATATTTCAGTATTTGAAACGGATATGCCATTAAGTCACTTAACCTCTCATTACCTCGCTGAAGTTGCTCAATCTCTCTTTGAGTAGCGGCAGGCTTGGGTGCAGGGTTTTTAACATTCTTTTCCAAATATCTTTCAGTTCTACTTTCGACATTAAAGCGACGTGCTTTTTTCGTAACGAATCGCCCTAAAGCTCCAGCAGCATTACCCATGGCTTAACCCTTCACCATAACCATTTGACCATTTTTCCGTTCTGTCTTCTGCTTAGAGGCTTCTGCTTTTCTGTACAGTATAATTTCTCATACCTCAACTGCACCGGAAGCGAATATGAATTTGAATGTTGAAAATTGCCACTCTGCCTACTCCCTCCCTCCCCGTCCTCCCCCTCCCCCTTTCCTCCACTGTTTACGGGACGGGACTCGAGAGACTGCTCGCCGGATTGTTCGTCTAGGGTTTAAAAGAAAGACCGCTGTCAGTGCGAATTGAAGTGCTCCTTCTTCAATTTCTCCATTCAAGCAAAATGGTAATCGACGTTTGTTATCTAATTGAGTTGCTTTCTGGTTTCAGTGGAATGTTTCTAGGTGTACTTTACGGATTGAAATGTTTCGATAGGTTATGACCGGCATGAGCAAGCGCTTAACATGACTTGTCAGAAAGGGTTTTAAGTGTTCTTTTCTCATATATACATCAGTTTCAATTTCATGATAAACTCTTTTATTTTTATTATACCTCACATCTTGTTCAAATTTACTTCAATTACTGATTCAAATACATGATGTGTCATTATTGTCATAGTCAAGATTACTGGCAGATCTCTACTGTCATATAAAATTGATTTCGTCTTGTTTCCTTCAACTGTTCGAATTTTTCTTTCAGTTCCGTAATCAATATGACAGTGATGTCACTGTGTGGAGTCCGCAGGGTAGACTCCACCAGGTTGAGTATGCAATGGAAGCTGTGAAATTGGGATCGGCGGCTGTTGGACTCAAGAACAAAACTCACGCTGTAGTGGTTGCCCTTAAAAGAGCGTCTTCTGAGCTTTCAGCTCATCAGAAAAAGATCATTCCCATTGACAAACATCTTGGAATGGCTATTACTGGGCTCACAGCAGACGCTAGAATGCTAAGGTATGAACTTGCATCATCAACTTGTGATTGGTAATATATTTATATGCTTGATCATTATTTTATTTCTTATAGCCGTTACATGCGGACCGAATGTCTGAACTACCAGTATGCTCATGATTCTCCTCTACCTGTGTGCCGCCTAATTGCCAATGTTGGAAACAAAATGCAGAGCTCTACGCAGAGATATGATCGTCGACCTTATGGTGTTGGATTGCTTGTGGCAGGATATGATGTTTGTATCCTTTTGAAACCCTTTTTCTCATTGGGAAAATTAATAAGTTTTTAATATTTATTTATGAAATTTAATCCAGGATCAAGGACCACATATCTATCAAACTTGCCCATCTGCAAACTTCTTTGACTGTAAGGCTATGGCTATGGGTGCTCGCTCTCAAAGTGCCAGAACTTATCTTGAAAAGCATTTGGGGGAATTCCCTGATTGTGATAAAGATGAATTGATTCGGCATGGGCTACGTGCATTGAGTGATACTCTGCCCAATGAAGTTGAGTTGACAGTGAAGGTAGTTGTCCAACATTTAGTTCATTATTCATTATTGAGCATATTTTCTGATGACTTTGGCTATATTTAATTCTTTCATTCTTTTCAGAATGTGTCCATTGGCTTGGTGGGTGAGAAGACACCTTTCTCAGTACTGGATGAGCAAGAAACTGCTGTGTATCTGACATCTATTGAGCATGAGGAGAGGCGTGGTGGTGGAGGATCATCGGGCTCAAAGTCTTCTACAAGCCAAGCAACTGGTGAAGACCCTCAAGACCCTGAAGTTGCTGTGGCCATGGAAACTGACTAATTTAAGGCAATAATTTGAGAAAAAAAAACTCCAACTTTTTTTTTTTTTGATTATTGGAAACTGCTCTTTACAGTTAATAAAGTTTTTATTTAAGGCACATATGCTTTTTTTGAAATTCGAAGAATAGTTCACAATCACACACTGAAGCCACACAAAACATTAATGTCTACATAATAAGTTCAGAAACCGAGAGGAGGACATGCATACTTATTAATTACACAATCAAATGTAAACAAATTAAACTTTGAACTGTAGATCAGTTGCCATGCTCTTGTTGCGCAATACGATGTTTCATCTGAAGTTCAAACCGCTTGTTCAGCCTCACAGTTTGCAGAGCTTTCTTTGCTTTTGCCATTGGGCTACTCCTGTAATGAGATACTGGTTAACTCAAGTCCTATACATGAATCATTGTAATATTAAGTAGCACAAAATATAGTACCTCTTAAGGGGCTTTTTTTCCATAATGCTAGCTTTCAATGCCTCTTTCCGTGAAGGCTCAGTCTTGGTAAAACCAAAGTGAGTTTTGGTGCCTGGAACAACTTGATACAATCAGAACATTTCCTATTGAAAATTGCCAAAATGTGGTGAAATTCAAATATTTACTTTTTCCTCTCGCCTCAAATTTAGGAGACTGCAATTTGGACACTCCTGGTATAAGGGATCCAATTGAAGGTCTCTTCTGGATGGAAACAATGTTGGATGCGTATTCAGACGCTACATGCTGGAAAGCAGCTTTTGCTCGTGGTGTATTTAACTTGGACTGAGGTACAAAAAGCTGAGATTTGGGAGTGGGAGGTTTTGATTTTGGAGAGGGGATTTTTGATTTTGGAGTGGGAAGTCTAGATTTGACTCCAACAAGTTTCGACTTTCCAGCCTTGGGTGACAGAAGTTTCCTTACCACACGTGTGTTTGGAGGACTTCTTTTGCTGTTACCGAACTGAAAAGGGGCAACAGGCAACATTTGAAACTGGTATACTAATAATTCAGAGATTTTTTGTTCATGGAGGTACTTATTCACTTTAACATACCTTTTGCTGCGATTTTTGCATTGAATTGGCTTTGTCTATGACCTTTTGTCTGGAATCTACCAAAGATTCCATTTTACTAAACATCCTTTTGTGGATAGCACTGAAGTCTGGAATCTTCTTAGCCAGGATAGGTTTTTCTGCTGTAGCCTCAACAACTTCTGCAAGAGAAAAAGAGACATCACTCCAGGAACTAAAACAATTCATTGTGATGAGCTTATTGCACCTGACTTACTTTTAGCAGAAACCTCAGCTTTGTTCCTTTCAATCTGATTTATTACTGAAGGTATTTTAGATTTGATAGCTGGCGACTTAATTCCCGGAGATGATGCCATAGGTTTGATTCTTGATGTGATAAATCGTCTTGGAACAGATTGTTCAGTAACATTCTTGTCAATAGTTTTTACAGAACTGGGAGTATGAGCAGAAGCCCTCCTCAACTGGTAAGGAGACTTCAGTGATGTTCTTGCTGGCTGTTTAGATTGTGACAAGCGATTTATGGTTTCCCTGGGCTTTGAAATCGAAACTGAGCAGGATGTACTGATTGATCCATGAGAGGGCTTCTTAGTAAAAGAAGTATTTTCTACCTCAAATGTACCTTCTCGTCTCAAATTGTGAGGCTGAAGGTTATCAATTTTCTCCTTGGAATCTGTTTTTAATTCTGTGATCTCAAATGTATCTTCACGTCTCAGTATTTGAGTTCGAGCAACAGAAGTTTCCAGCTCCTTGGTGCCTTTACCAATTTCAAATGTTCCTTCCCTTTTGATTTTGAGACCACTAACTTCTTCTACCTCAAATGTTCGTTGGCGTGTCAATCTGCGAGTAATTGCTTGAACCGAGGGTGAAGATGCTGCTGTTGTGTCATCCACTTCAAATGCACCTTGACGCCTTAATTTTTTACCAATAATGGCAGGCTTGGCTGGCCCCGCCAAAGATTTTCGAAGGGATTGAGGGGTGCCAGATCTGCTCTTGTTCATTGGAGACTGACTTTTAAATACTGATGAATGCCGATTCAAGTTCTTTTCTTGGTCCAATAGAGGGACCCGAGGCGATGAACAACTCACTTTGTCTGGTTTGGAATCGGAGGTGGAGCCTGAAGGCAGAAGAAAATAGCATATAGATTTTCACCAACTAGGAACGTTACTTTTACTTTGGTGGAAGTAGTCACCTTTACGGCACTCAGTGGTACCCTCATGAGGCAATGTGTTTTCAGCATCACCTTCATCTGATCCTGTTTCATCATTTTCCTTAAAACACAATAAAATCACAATAAATACAAGAACAAATAACAGACATTGAAGAAAGAATCTCTTCTTACCATGAAAGAAGGCATGGAAATATCATTTAAAGTTTCAGCTGGTGACTCGCACAGTGCCATTAACTTCTCTACCAATTCAATCTGAAAAACAGGAGGCATAGGATAAAATGGTACGAAGAAAAGAACACAAGAGGTTGGAAAACAAGAACTGTACCTTTGGCGCGTAGCGTCGAAAAACATTGTGTTCCTTAGCTAATTTCACCAGGTCTGTGTATTTCATGACCTCCAAAGATTCCTTCTTAAACTCGACCATTTTAAAAGGCTGGATAAGCTAAGTCAAAAGTAAAACTAGGCCCGAGTGAGTTCAAGCATCACGGAACTGTGTTTACGAATTCAACTCGAAAATTCGTTGGCACAAGTTTTTGAAACGTCGTCGTTTTAGCTCTCCAAAACGTCCAACTGCACAAACCAAAAAAAATATAGAAATTTTATCTAGGAACAGTGAAACTAGAATTTAAAAATGATATAAACTCAAATTAATTCATAATTACTCCTAATCTTAAATAATCGAAACAGAAAAACCTCTCAAAATCAATGGCACAAGATCAACAATTTGAAATATTTTTCGGAAAGCGGTCCACGAAAGTGGTGCTCCTGTTTGAAGCCGGTGCAGCCGACGCTGGTTGATGTTTGAGTACTCCTTTCAAAATTTTAAGAGCTCTTATTTTAATCGGTCATTCTTATCATTTGAAATAAATCTAGATGCGTGCAGCGGAACCTTCAGCTACAATAATCCCACGTTGGTGCAGCCTTCCCGGTCCGTGCGAAGCGCTCTAGGATTCGCCCAAGGTGAGGATGGCAACAACGGGACGAGTGTCAGTGCGGTGTGTTTACAAACAAACCCCGTCCGTCACGTATCGGCATCGGCGTGCTCCAGCGAGCCCCTTTGGCTGCCCCGCGAGTCGGGAACGTCGGAGCCGCGATGTAGTTGGGCCCGCATTGCAACTGCAGCCGTCGCACGTCGAGAGGCACCGGACCGGACTGCATCGCGGCCAACAACTTGGCGGCACGCGCTGCGCGCTGCAGCGTTTCATGTCCCGGTGCAGCGAGCGTAGCGCGTAGCGAGCGTCGCCAGATTGCAGGTTAGACAGACGATGGATACGCCCGACCGGCTGTCGAGCATTGAACATGAACATTCCCCACGCTCGCCTTTCACCACGCTCGGCTTGCGGTCGTCCCACGCCGGAACCATTGGACTGCGCGTTTCCACAATCTTTTCGTTCTGCAGCGTTTGAAGACGCCATTTTTTAGCACTCCTCCATCTCATTTCTCGTTGCAAGGATGCATTATGAATAGGTAAGCATGTAATAGTCCAGCAACAAAATTAGACTGCTTCCACCCGCGCTCCGTCCGTGTCGCGGAGAAAGAAATAGAGGTGTCAATATCCCATGTCAATGCAAACAAGAAGTCACTTGCGCGCGAGGTATCGTCGAACATGAGGCGCGGGGTATTCGCAAGAGGAACTTTAACTCTCTTTTCTGAGATCATTAATTGCATCCAGTGGCGCTTGCAGAGCCCCCTCCCCTCTTTCCACACCTTCCACACCTAACAAGACGCCTGGGCCATTTGCAGTACTCTCAGCCTGTTAGCAGGCAAAAAGGGTGATTACCAGTGACTACGCCCCCCTCGGCAAGGCCGAACCAAGGCCGGCAGACGCGCGCGCAGGCACACCAGGCACGGATCCAGAGGCGGGCTCAGGGGGGATGTCGCAAAAGTTGCCTACCTTTAGGGGCAACGTGCACCTTTTTGTCTACCTTTCAGTCGGCTTCGCCGGCTTTCGGGGGAAGGGGGACACCCCCGTCGCTCCAACCCCCTGAACCCGCGCCTGGCGCGTGCGTGCACACACTCACATCCACGCACTCTTCCTGATATTTTGGCCCCGGCAGTGCGGGGGTGCAAAGGGGGTGGCGTCTTCGCGCTCCGCCGCCGGCCCCCCACAGCTTCGCGCTTCGCGGTGCCTCGCGGCTCGGCCGGCTTGGCGGTATCGAGGCGCTCGGCGGCGCTGCGCTCGGCTCCCTCCGTTCCCCCGGTTCTGCCGGACGCCGGGCTCAGGCCGTGCCGGTGCCGTGTTGTGTTGTGGGTGCAGTCGGCAGGGCAGTCAGTCCGAGTGAGGACGCGGACGACGCGGACGCGGGGCGACGAGGGAGCGAGCCGTCCCATTCGTCAGCGTGCTTCCCTGCGTGGCTGCGCCAGGCTGCGCGCGCTGCGCGGCGGAGGGAGACCAAGGGAGACTCGTTTCGTTTCCCCCGTGTCGTGCTCGCTGCACCACTGCATCCGTTCCAGCCGGCGCATTCGAACCGTTTTCGTTTTGTTCCGATTGAGGGTGTCAGTATCGTTCCTTGTTCGGCTCTGAGGTTGTCAGACTCGTTGGGTGGGCGAATGGTTTGAAATAATGCCCGCCCTTACCTCCTCCTTTCGGTCCCGTTCAAGTAAGTTCGGAGTGTGTCGAAGCCGCACGCACGGGCGCGGATTTTTGCCCTCGCCTAACTTTTAACACCTCTAAATGGCACCCTTTTTGTTTTTGTTGAACTAATCAGTCAGGTCTGCTACTAATGTCGCACGCACTTTTAACCTTAAATGACTAATCATCTCAAAACAAACTAGTGCTTTTAGTCAATAGTAGTTGTACGTTCAGGTGTTGGTGGTGGTGGTGGTGGCCGACCTCTCGGCGGACTTTTCCTGTTTCTGAGATGGGGTTGCGACGGCCAAGGTTTGCCGCATTGTGGCCTCATTGCTTCCACGCTAGTGATTCTATGTAGTCCTGCGAGACTGCGAGGTCTGGCTTACGGCATGGCCACGGCCGTCGGGCCCGTCGGGCCGAGAGGCAGGGCTATTCTCAGCAGCGCGGTGCTGCGCGCTGGCATGGAGGCGAACACCATGCTAACGCGTTGTCTGTCCGCGTCCGGGCCCACCACGGGGGCTTTCACGTACGTGTTTACACTGGTGCGGGTCTTGGCCGTTGGCCACTCCACTGGTGGCTTTTGGTGTTGGCGGCGCCGGCCGCGTACCGACGGGCACCATGACGTTGATGCCTCAACGCGGTGTGCCGGGCTAGGGGCCAGGCCGCTGCGCCGGCTGGATAGTGAGTCTCATCGCGGCGTGTTAGTAAGCGGCACTCGGTGTCGGTGCCGCGAACCACTTTCGCCCCGGCCGACATGATTGACTGCGGCGCTCTCTGTGTCTGGCATCCTTGTGCAGCCGACCAAGTGCGGCGGGGCGAGTAGCGAAGTAGCGGTCCCTGGAGGGCGCCGGGCCGGCCGGGGCCGTGCGAGCAATGCGATAACGCGCTCAGCAAGTCGTCCCACAGTCCCTTGACGCCATGTTCCTGCGCGTACGCAACGCCCTGGAAAGTCACCTCGGCGGCGCCAGGCGACGCAAAGGTAAGGCGTTTGGATGTTGCGCTTTTCTCCGCGACTGCTCGTCGTGGCGCCCTCCTCCCTCTTCACACATTTGCATGGCTTGGCCACGGCTTGGCGGCGCATGCCGGAGTTGCGTGCGGCGCCGCAACAAGTCCTTTAAAACTTATTGTTTCTTTTCTTTTCCTTTTGTTGTCGCATCGGTTTCCGGGGCGAGGCGTGGCGGCGCGTGCGGACGGACGGCGTGCCTCGCGGAGAGGCGCCGCCAGGAGGCTGGAGCCTTGAGCCGTTCCGCGCGGCTGGATTGGATTGACCGTGCATGCGTTTGTTTTTTTTCGCTCTCCCTTTGCTGCCCAGCTTGTTGCAGTGTGCTCACGGCACTTGCGCTTCTGCCTTTCTGGTTGCAGGAAGCAGGGGCCGTCGCGCGTCCCCCCACCCCGGCGATCCCGAGCCGGGGAGTTTTGAGGGGTCCGAAGCCGAGGACTTCTTTCCCGACGAGTGCGCCGGCTCTTCGGGGGCGTCGTCTGGGAGCAGGGCGTCGACGTCCAGGTCGTCCAAGACCAAGGCCGCCAAGGCCGCCAAGGCCAAGCAACGTGCCAAGACCAGCGCCAAGGCTGCCAAGGGCGCCAAGGGTGCGGCCGGCGCGCCGACCACCGAGGAGCCGGGCACTCCGACGACCGCGCCGTCCGAGCCGGGCGACATGGCGGCCACCGATGACGACGGCCAACAGGCCGCCGACCTGCAGCTGAAGATGACGGTAAGTTTCAGCCCGGTGTCTCACTTTCTGTGCGCGTGGACAGGGAAAAGAAGTGCCCCCCTCCCCTCGGAAAGAATGAATGACATTCAACAAAAACGGCCGTGCTTTTCTCTCCCCTTTTCTCTGAATATGCCAGCAGCGAAAGTGGCTGCCTCCGTACGTCTGATCGCCCCTCTTGTTCCAACCGCTCTTTTCCGGGAGAGTCTCTGTCGCGCACTTTACAGCCAGGGAGCCTCGCCGTCCGTGGCGGCCGGCGGGCTACAGCCCCTTTACGCGCCGCTTCGGCGTGGCTACGGCGCGGCTACGGCGGCGACGGCAAAGCGCCGCCCATAACACGCGCGGCCTCGGCGCCCGCCCTGCAGCGCCCTGGCCCTCGCGTGGTCAGTGGTCAGCGCGGGCCACTTTTATCTCGATCGCGGTCATTTCTCTGGACGTGACGCGCCCTGTGCTAATACGCGTGTTGCTTGACCTTGGCCAGGGCCGGCTGGGGGTGGGGGCGGGGGCGGGGCGGCAGAGGGGCGGCAGCGCTTTGATTGCTGCCGGGGGCGCCGCGACGCCTCCACCGCAGGGAGGCCACGGAGGTGGAGGTGGGCCGCCGACTCGGCCGGCGAGGCGCGCCGTCGAGGAGGCACACTGTGGCATTTTGGTCCCTTCAAGCGGCGGGGCGCGACGGGCGCACGTCGTCGTGGGCACCGAGCGCGGGCGGGCAGCGGGAGTGGCGGCCGCGCGCTCCAGTTTGCCAGTGGGGCGCTGTGCTGCACTGCACTCGCTGTTCTGCTTATGCACCGCGCTCCGCGCTCGCCAGAGCGGCCAAGCGGCAATCGCCGCCCCCCTTCTCCCCTGCCTCTCCCGGTCGCCCGCGCCGCGGCCCCAGCCCCAGCCCCGCCCCGCGACTCGTCGTCGAGGTGCACGTCCCACAGTGGGCCAGAAGACCGGTAGAGGCGGCCAAAACTCCAGACGCGTTTTGAGCTCCAGAGTACAGTCTTCATCGGCAAAGAGTCGACCGGCAAAGAGTCGACTTCATGTGACGGTCCCCGCTTACGCGGCGGGGGCGAGCTCGAGCCACAATAGTTTTATGGCCCTCCCGAGCTCGGAGCACTACCGGAGCTTTTGTCTACCACCATGTGCTGTTTGGTTTTCGTGTCGGCAAAGAGTCGAAATCCGGTCCCGACCCGTCGACTCTTTGCCGATGAAGACTGTAGCTAAATGGGGCCCGAACGTGTGACCCCACCAATGGATTCCTCGTTCGGAAAGCAATCCATTGGTGGGGTCACACGCTCGGTTGGAGTACCATGTAGCGACTCTGGAGCTCGAAACGCGTCTAGAGTTTTGGCCGCCGTCGCCGGTCTCCTGGCCCACTGTGCGTCCCAGGGCCGCACGGCCACACGAGGCACTGCGGGTTCAGAAGCCGGCACGCCGGCGTCGTCCGCCAGCAGGAAGGATGCGCGTCGCCGGCTAGCCAGCCGTCATGCGTGGCATGGCATGCCGAATTGGTCGCCGAGTGGTCGCACGGAGTGGCTTGCTGGCGCGCTGGCGGCGCGGGGAGGCGCCGAGGGCGGCGTGCCCTTTGCTGCACGCCTGCCTATCCTCGAAGGGGCGCCGTGCCGCGGACAGGCCGGGCGGCCGATATTGACCGCCGCCGTGGCCGCTGCCGGCGGTCACCATCCTCGCCGTCCACGACGTCCACGCCATAGTCGTCATGTCGGGATCGTACGGCGGGGGCGAGGCGCGGCTCGCCGGCATGGACGCACGCGTTGAGTCGAAAACGCCCTCGTGCCTCGCGAGTCCCTCAAGCCGACCTAGAGGCCGTCGGCGCGGCCGCGTCAAAACACTGTCGAGCGGCTGAAGGTCCTGTGATGGTGTTTGGCAAGAATGCGTTCGCTAATGCAGCACGCGGTGATAGGTGCCCCCCCCCCCAAACCTCCTTTCCTCATTACGTGTTGCTTTATACACGTGCAGTCAGACTTCGTGCAATCGATAGCAAAATTACCGGGGGGGGGGTCTTATTCAGGCTTCAAGTTCTGTTGCCCCACCGCCGGCCCGCTGCCGGCCCGCTGCCGGGGATGGAGCGGTGGGCACGTCATCCATAGATGATGAGGCCCTGCACGACCCCGCGCAAGCCGGCTCCCCGCCCAGCGTGGCACCGCTGGCACCGCTGGCACCGCGCACGCAGGACGGAAGGCCAGTGGGCGCCTCGGTGGGCGCCGTGTGGGTCGTGTTCCCGGAGTGATGACGGCGAGCCCCTCGCGGTGGGCGCCGTGTGGGTCGTGTTCCCGGAGTGATGACGGCGAGCCCCTCGCGGTGGGCGCCGTGTTGGTCGTGTTCCCGGAGTGATGACGGCGAGCCCCTCGCGGTGCCGGCGCGCCCATGGCGGCCATGCAGTGCCCCCATCGTGGGCGGCCGCCCCGCCGCTCGGTGTTGTGGTGGAGCAGGACCTGGAGGAGGACGACGTGGGCGAGGACGCGGAGGCCGATGCCCTTCCAAACGCCCCGCGCGCCCCGCCCGAGGCGCCGAGATCGGTAGGCGCCGGAAGTTGGGTGAGGTTAGACGTTGGCCAGGGAATGGATTTTGTGGTTGGTTTGTTGCAGAGCCACCTAGTGATGTGGCGCATCGGGGCCGTGGTGGGCGTGTCCGTGCTGCTGGCGTGGCTGATCGGGGCGGTCGGCCTGTCGCTGGCCTGGCTGCTGCTGCTGCTGGCCGCCCTGGGCACCGCCTGGCCCTCCCTGCCCGGCATCGTCGCGGACGCGGTCCGCCGCGAGACGGTGAGGGTGCGCGTGCGCCGCGCCCTGTGCCAGGACGAGACGGCCGAGTGGTTCAACTTCCTGCTGCACCGATGGTGAGGTCACTGGCCGGGCCGTGCCTGGCCGTGCCTGAGTGGCTCGGATCGTATTCATCCTGTTCTGCCGGCCGGCTTGTTCGTCGTGTTGCAGGTGGACGTTCAGCTCCAACTCGCTGCTGACCACGCTCAAGGAACGCCTCGAGCCCCTGCTCAACGAGGCGCGGCCCTCCATCGCTGGTAAGTTCGTTAACTTTCAGCTCGTCGATCGTCATTGTGTGCCCGAAAATGAGGAACTCCCGCGAGAACTCCTGGCGCTAATGATTCCCGTTTCCGTATCGACCTGTGGAGTTGATGCGCCGTGATGGCTCGCCCTCCCCGGCGTGCTCGGCGGGGGAAGAGGGTTGATTCCAACCCGTTCGCCGGGCGGAAACTTTTTTTCCTTGTTGGCGGAATGTCACGCGAAAGCGCATGGCGCGTGATCGAATCGAGTCTGAGCTCGCTCCGCCGCCCGCCTCACTGTTTGCCGTGTCTGGCGTGGTGTTGTCTCGTGGACTGGCGTGCCGTCTGATGGGGCTTAGGCCGAACGCACCTTGCGTCTTGCGCGTCGTCACCAGCGAGCGGCGAGCTGGGGTCGCGGGGGCGGCGCGGGCGCTTGTTATTCCGAAACCGTGCCCCGCCCCCGCGCCCGCGCCCGCCCCGCCCCCGCCCCGCCCCCGCCCTGGCGAAAATCGTAACAAGATTGGAGCGTTTGGAGTCGTTGCAAAAAGCGTTCAAAAGGCGTGTTGAAGACACCGTTTACGCTCTAAGATCGCCCTACAGAGTGTTCGCAGGGTGAAATTGTGATCACTTCGAGCGTTTTACGGAGCACTCTACAGAGCGTTGTCGGGTGTTTGTAGAGTGCTTCGACGCACCCCGTCTGCAGCTCCAAAAGCCCTATTGAGCGCATTGAAGCGCTCTGCAGAGTGCAATGTGAGTGTTGGGTACAGCCAGAACGCTCTGTAGAGCGTTCGAGGTGCGTGGCCACACGGCGGCCCGCTGCTTCCCCCACCACTCCCCACCGCCCCGCGCCACGGAACCAGGCACGCTGCGCTCATAGGTTACATCCACTTCTTTCAATAAATTTTTAAAATTTTTATCACAAGCGGCACGGCTGCAAAAGCGGTAAAAAAAACATCTAAATTGTTTTTTCATTTTAGCCTCATTTGGATTGTACGCCATGCGCCAGTCACCGTTTAGCTCGAGAGCGCGAACGCTTCCCCGAAACTAACCGCTATGGCTTTAGTGGGATTTGAACCCACGCCTTGTGCTCCTGATACCCCGAGAGCGCGCACGCTACCCCGGAGCTACCAGGCTTCCTTGCTGGAGAGCTGTGCGTGTGGCTCTCATATAGCACTGCACCGGCGGGGATCGGACGACAGCGTTTCAGAGCGCCTTGCGAACACTCTAGGCGACTTGGTGGGGGAGACGCGGCGTCACGCAGTGCCAGCGACTAAGTCCGAAACGACGGTTTACAGAACGCACCAGTACGCTGTGTGAACGCCCTGAGGAGCGTTCATGAGCCGTAATACAACACCCAGAGAGAACGCCCGTGAGAGCGCAGAGCAGCACACTCAGTACGCCCCGCAAACACCCTGCAGAGCGCACTTCAGGCGCATTGCAACGCTGCGCAACACGCCGACAAGAGCGCTCTACAGCACTGACACTACGCCCCAAAAGCGCTCTGAAGAGCGATCGCTGAGCGCTTTGAGGCGTTTTGGACAGAGCGGCGTTGTAAAGCGCCTTTGAAACGCCTCGAAACGCTCAGATGCGCTCCGCAAACGCCTCGATACGCTAAAGAAACGCTTTATTGTCGTTACGATTTTCGCCAGGGCGCCCCGCCCCCGCCCCGCCCCCGCCCCGCCCCCGCGCCGCCCCCGCGCCGCCCCCGCGCCGCCCCCGCGCCGCCCCCGCGCCGCCCCCGCGCCGCCCCCGCACCCCCTGGCGGCGGCATCCCTCTAAAGGCATTTTGCTGTTAGCGTCTCGCGCTGGCGAATGCAGCGTGCGAGCGTGGCCGCGCGGCCCCCGCGTGCAGGAAGTGGTGAGAAACGAGCCCTCTCCGCGCCGCCCGCCCCGCGCCGCCCTCGGAAGGGCTCGTCGTGGTGTCGTCTCGGTCTCGGGCATGCCCCTGCAGGGGCGCAGGTCACTCTCGGATCACGCTGGACGGTGGAAGCAAGGGTGGGGGATAAAGGGGGGAGCGATACAACAATATTCAAAAGTTGAACTCGATAGAAGGAAGTTCATTTCCTCTCTCTTTCGGCCAAAGTTTCAACAGGGGCGAGCGCTCACGCTCACCGAAACGAGTATGGGGATGGTCGCGAGAAAACGTCGGTTCCGAAGCAGAAAGGCCCCGGTCGGAGGTTCGCCGCTCACCCGCTCCGTGGCTTTATGGTTTGACTGTCTCCTGTAGGGCCCCGCCTGGCCCCGCTGCCAAGCCCGCTGCCCGACTCTGCCAAGAGCACTGAAAAACCAAACGTGGTCTAGACCACACCAACTGATGTGGTCAAAATGGCGCCCGTCTGACCACACCAGTGGTGCGGTCTGGACCACGTTTGGTTTTTGGCCCGTCCCGTTAATTTTTTGTAAAAAAAAAAAAAAGACGGAGGGACGTGCATATAGTATGATGCATGCTGTCCGTCCGTCCGTCCGTCCGTCCGTCCGTCCGTCCGCCCGTCCGTCCGTCCGTCCGTCCGTCCGCCCGTCCGTCCGTCCGTCCGTCCGTCCGTCCGTCCGCCCGTCCGCCCGTCCGTCCGTCCGTCCGTCCGTCTTCCCGTGGTCCGACCTTGACCAAATTTGGTATGCAGCCTCCTTGGGTGATCCTAAGAACCACCCGGTGGCAGCAAATCCGATCCGAGCCCCGGGGGCGCTGCTGCAGGTGCATCATGGTCTACATGGGGTCGAGGAGGATTTCGGCAACGGATGCAGCTAGTAGGGCATGTTGGGGTACTTTTTGAATCAGGGCGACAAGACAAAACCAACGGTGCCAGTTTCAAGCGAATCGGAGAAGTTGAGACCCGGGTTCAGATCCCAGTGGGGTTTATTTTGAACATTCTTTTTATTCGAGTTTTTGCATTGTTACTGATGTTTTTGGAGGGTGCTGATGACGAAAATAAAATCTATTTTGACCCCAGACTCGGGTTCAAATCCCATCAGGGTTAAACATAGGTGATAAATTCGCACATTTCTTAATGTACGGGACGGGCCAAAGTTGCCGATGTATATCGCTACTTTTCCTGTTATTCAGTGAGGTCCTGGCCCGCCCTGGCCAGCACTCTAGTGCTCGTACCGTACAGTGTACAGTAAGTCGCTAAGGGCCCGCGCTGCTTCCCCCCCCCCCCCTTTTCCACCAGTGCGCGCACAAGTGGCCCGGTGGTGGCCCTTTGAAATGAGTCGCAGATCTTGGAATCGCTGCAAATAGGGCGCCAGCATTGTACAGGGCGTCCCCTCTGTGTACTTCCCAAGGACCGCCGCCACGTGTGGCCCAAGGCCAGCGATGGCCCCGTGCGGCCGTGCCGCTCTTCCCTGACGGGTCGCGGGGACGTGGATTGGACGCCCAGATCGCATCCGATTTGTTTCATATTGGATGCGAATAGGACGAGCTCGATCGATCCACAATCGATCCAGGTAGCATCCACAAAGTCCACAATGATGTCCAAACAACGTCTTAAACACGTCCAGAGCACATCCAGACCATCCACAACTGCGACGTATCCATTTCTCATCCAACCTATCCACATGCAGTCCAAAGTGCATCCAACGCTCTCCTTGCGCATCCAAAATGTGTCTAACGGAGCCAGATCGCATCCCCGGCATCCACTGCGCATCCAACACACATCCTTCACATCCAGAATGCATCCGCCACATCCAAAATGCATCCAAACCACATCCAGCACATCCCGAACGTATCCAAAACATATCCATCGTATCCAGATCGTATCCATTTCACATCCAAGGTGTTATTTGGATGTGATTAGGGCCTATTCTGGATATGATGGATGACTCCTTTACTCTGGGTGAGCTGGACGACCTCCGGATGCGGATGGGATGGATGGGAGAAATTGTAGCCTGTCGACTCGTCGTGTTGATGTTGCCTGGATGAGTGACGAACTTCTCGAAACTGGTAAGCCTTTACCGGGAGTTGAACCTGGCACCTTCCGCATACTAGCCTACAACTTAAGTCACTCGGCCACCACATCCTTGTTAGAGGAGCAAGAACAATAGGTACTCTTAAACTTCACGCGAGGTATGGTCCACACAGCATCCTCGTTAAGTCCAGCTCGTCCACAGGCATCAACCGTCCAGACAACATCCACAATCTCCACTTGGCTTCCGAAACCACCAGGACATCTGGAGTGCGTCCTAAACTTATCCAATGCACATCAATCACATCCTGAACGCATCCAATCCACATCCGTCACATCCTGAACGCATCCAATGCACATCCAACACATCCTGAACGCATCCAATGCACATCCAACACATCCCGAACGCATCCAATGCACATCCGTCACATCCTGAACGCATCCAATGCACATCCAACACATCCTGAACGCATCCAATACACATCCAACACATCCCGAACGCATCCAATGCACATCCATCACATCCTGAACGCATCCAATACACATCCAACACATCCTGAACGCATCCAAAGTGCATCCACAACATCCAGATCACATCGAAAGTGCATCCACAACATCCTGAACGCATCCAATGCACATCCAACACATCCCGAACGCATCCAATTCACATCCTGAACGTATCCAATGCACATCCAACACATCCCGAACGCATCCAATTCACATCCATCACATCCTGAACGCATCCAATTCACATCCATCACATCCTGAACGCATCCAATGCACATCCATCACATCCTGAACGCATCCAATGCACATCCATCACGTCCTGAACGCATCCAATGCACATCCATCACATCCTGATCGCATCCAATGCACATCTATCACACCATGAACGCATCCTATGCACATCCATTACATCCTGAACGCATCCGCTACACTCGTATCGCATTCAACGCAACCAGATCGCACTACGGATGCGATCTGGATGTGGTGGATGCACTTTGGATGTGGTCTGGATGTGGTGGATGCACTTTGGATGCGGTGGATGTACTTTGGATGCGATCTGGATGTGGTGGATGCATTTTGGATGCGATCTGGATGTGGTGGATGCACTTTGGATGCGATCTGGATGTTGTGGATGCACTTTGGATGTGATCTGGATGTTGTGGATGCACTTTGGATGTGGTCTGGATGTGGTGGATGCACTTTGGATGTGGTGGATGCACTTTGGATGCGATCTGGATGTGGTGGATGCACTTTGGATGCGATCTGGATGTTGTGGATGCACTTTGGATGTGATCTGGATGTTGTGGATGCACTTTGGATGCGATCCGGATGTTGTGGATCCACTTAGGATACGATCTGGATGTGGTGGATGCACTTTGGGTGTGGTGGATGTACTTGGGATGCGATCGGGATGAGGTAGATGTACTTTGGATGCGATCTTGATGTGGCAGATGCAGTCTGGACGTGGTAGATGCAGTCTGGATGTGTTGGAGTGGCTTGGATGTGATGTGGATTATGAACGTTTGGATGTTGTGGACTTCATCTGGACTTTAGGTGTCTCGTGGATGTGTTGGACTTGACGGAGATGTGGTGTTGCAGCCCAGTCACTTTTGTGTGGATTTTGCGGATGTAATGTGGACCCCTTGCGGATTTATGTGGACGTGGTGGACGTAAATTAGATGTCAGTAGATCTCCTGGATGTGTCGGATGCTTAATGGATGATCCGTCTGCGGCTGCTCGGGATGAAGTGGACGCGATCAGGATGCCAACTGGAGTAATGCTCGAAATGTGGATTGGCGCGGACTTGCGTGGACGCGGGGTGGACGCTAGGTGGATGCAACAGACACGAAATGGACCTAGTTTGGATGATGTGAGCTCCAAATCACATCCCAGCGACCCGTCAGGGTTGTGGGCAGCCCTCCCGAGGCTCTCGGTCAGAATGTAGAGGATTGGGATCCCTCACGCGCACCCACACGCGCAAGCGCGGATCCAGGGGGGGGGGGGAGCAAAAGGAAAATTGCCCCTCCCTTGACCCCTAGATAGCCGCCTGGAAGGTAGGCAGAAAGCGCCACTTTGCCCCTGTAAGTAGGCAAAAAGTGCTACTTTGCCCCCCCTCCCCCTTTTGGACTGACTCTGGATCCGCCGCTGCACACGCGGTCTCCAGAAACAAATGTAGACTGAGTTTGTTTTTCTCTCTCGTGTGCGTAGGTGCGTTAGGTTACTTGCCGGCTGCCGAGGACGACTGCCGAGGACGACTGCCGAGGGATGGGGCGCGGTAGGCGTGGCGGCGTGGCTAGGTTCGGTGCGAAGCGGTGCGAAGCGACACCGTGCTGTCGTGCAGCGTGCAGCAGGCTGATCCAGAATTGTGGGCCTTGTTGCTCTTTCTCTCTCGCACTGACGCGGGACGCCTTGCGAGGAGGGCGGCTGGCGAAACCCTGTTTGCGAGTCGTTGTGCGTGCCGTGCGGGCGGGCGGTGATTGAATCGCTTGTGAATCTTCTGTGTGCCGGCGAGACGCCTCGTCGAGTCTATAGCGCCATGGCCTGCATCTCCTGATTACCTTTTAGTTAGATTTTCGCCGAGCGACGGAAATGAACGGCTGACGAGGTTATTGGCTGACGCGATTGCCGCGCGCGCTGTCTGTGTTGCCGCCGCGTCGGTCGGACTTGTTCGGGCCACCTGGACGGCTGGAGCCTTTTGGCTTTTCGCCTTGGGAGCGCCGAGGTCCGACACTCCGCCACTTTGCCGGCGCCTGGCGGCGCCTGGCGCCTCGCGGACCCTCTCGGCCCTGTCGTGCCACCGCGCGAGCGCCGCGGTTTTAATTAATATCGCGGGGATGGGATGTCGGGGGCTGGCCGCGCCACGCCAGCTATTTCTTATTGACGTCACCCCCCCCCCCCCCCCCGGTTTTCCTCCCCCAGGTATCCTGCTCAATTCAGCGTAGTGTTCGGTCCGTCGCGGGATGCCTTTGTCCACTTTTGTCCGAGGCGGTTCGACGCGTGGGGGAAGTTTATTGGCTACTGGATTGGGGCTCTGAGCCACGCCACGCGTGCTGCTGTTCCCGTCCGCGCGCCTCTTTGTCTTCCCTTTTCGTCGGCCGGACCGCCCTGCGATGCGTGTGAAACATTCGGAAGCGGACTGGGACCGCGGTGCTGGCCGTGCTGGCCGTGCTGGCCGTGCTCGGTGTTGTGGTGTGTCAGTGTGGTGTCAGTGTGGGCGCAGACCGGCGCAGACGGCCCAGACGGCACATACTCAAACTTGACGTTCTGTTCGTCTTTGTCGTCGGGACGCAGACGTCCCGACACAGTCTGGCCAACATAAATTGGCAAAGTTTTGATACGCACGAGGCAAAAACAACGATTTTGCTGAAGAGTGTTGCCGAATGTCTGGCGATGTCTGTCTGCTCCTCTCCACTCTGCGCCGGCAAGCCAGGGCAAGCTGGCCCGCCGGCGGGGGTGAGCTCTAATGGCCCCACTCTGGCCCCGCTAGGTAGCGTGCTTTGGGCAAGTTAGTTGCTCGTGATAAGAGTTGCTGTTGCTTAGCTGCTTTCCCTGGCCCCGCCTCGCCCCGCCTCGCCCCGCCTTGACCGCACCCCAAGGGAGGCACCGGACCGAGTCTTGCCTTGGGGAAGCCACCCCCCAATCGAGTGAATTTTAATGTGTGCCTCGTCTTTAGTGCGTACTTGTCGATAATGAACTGTTTGCACTGAGATTCCAAACGCTATGAGTATAGCACGTATGGTGCAATGCGCTGTGATATTGCACCATACGTGCAATGCCACAGCCATATTGCACCTTTGGTGCAATGCTTCCCGAAAAGGCCCTATCCTAATGCATGGGAAATGGGAGGCATTGCACTTCATGTGCAATGCTTTTGCATTGCACCAATTGACGCTATACTCATAGCGTTTGGATTCTCAGTGTGGAAGGATCGGGTTGTTCTGAACACGCAACGATTCCTTGACTGACAAGAGTGACAAGTATGCAGTTTTGCCAGTGCACTAGATGAAGACGTTGGTTCATTGGTTTCAAGTGTGCGTATCAACGGCCTATCAATGGTTTCATCTGAGGAAAAACCTACAAGTAGGCCTGCCCTCTTACAGGCGTGTAAAAAAAACTTCGCGCTTGAGTTTACAGAATTTGTGAAATGACACTAACAAAATGGAAACCGGGTTGAGGAAGTTGAAAGATGCCGTATCGATCGACTGCTTCCCCTGACAGCAGAGCGCTTCGGTTGGGATCGTGATTCTTGAGATTTGTCAAGCAAAATGTGAGGTCCGATCGGGATTGTAATTCGCCGTAGCGCCAGGCGGCCAGGCGGGGCGCGAAGGGAGCGCCAGCCGAGCGCCTGCGGAGTCGAGGGCGGGCTGTCCCGTGCTTCGGCCGGGTGCGGCGGGCTAGCCTACCCTCGGCTCTGCAGGCGCTCGGCCTGGTGGGTACCAGGTGGGTGCGGCGGGCTAGCCTACCCTCGGCTCTGCAGGCGCTCGGCCTGGTGGGTACGGCGCGGCGGCGTGGGTCGGCCCGGGCAGCCGGGGCCAGCCGGGGTGGTTAGAGCCCTTTATATTTCTATATAGGGCTCAAGGGGCGGTACGCTGTCGAGGGCCGACAAAGTGCTGTTATTGGTCGGTGCCTTCGCGTCACATCGGCCGGCCCATTTCCCTGCCGGCCGATGTCGTTTGGTAGACCAGCTTGTGACCGATTGGAGAGCCTCGGCCAAAGTACTTGATGACGAGGTTCTTGGAACACCCCGAGAGTATGGGCTGTTTTCGGGCAGTTTGTAAGCAGCACGTCTTTGTTGTGTTTGATTTCAGAGAGTCTGGAGCTGCGTGAACTGTGCCTGGGCTCCAAGACGCCGCTGCTGACCGGTCTGCGAGCCACCGACCTCGTGGCCGGCCGCTGCGTGCCCTTCTCGCTGTCCTCGCTGCTGGGGGGGCCCGGGCTGCAAGGGCCGGCCAGCGGCAGGGCAGGCTCCCCCCCGCTGGCGCCCTGCCACCGAGTGGCGCTGCGGGCCGACGTCCAGCTGGAGCCCAGCGACGACTTTCGCTGCGTCCTGCGAGCCCGCATCAGGGGGTGCGTAGCCTGCGTAGCGTAGCGGAGTGGAGTGGACATGGAGCTAGCGTCTCGTCCAGTCTCGTCTGTCTCGTGGCGCATGCGTGTGTACGTTGCTCATTCACCACTTGCCCTGACTGCTCTCAGAGTGGGCGTGGACATGGAGATGGCCATCGAGAAGCTGCACCTGAGCGGCACCGTCCTGGCGACCCTCACCCTGGACATCAACGCCCCATTCCCGCACATCACGCACCTGTCCATCGCCTTCGTCGAGAAGCCCGACATCTGGTTCAGCGTGCGCGTCCTCAAGGTGGGTGGCCCCGGTGCCCCGTGGGGCCGCCTCGCCGCCTGGCAGCGAATGGGGAAGGCGCGAATGACTCTTGACTTGTTGCAGGCAGTGCAGGCCATGGAGGTGCCGCTGCTCAAGACGTGGATCCACTCGCTGGTGCTGGACGCCCTGATGACCACCCTGGTGGACCCCGGCCAGCTGGACTTTGTGCTCATGTCGCCGGACTGCCCGAGGCCGGCCAAGGAGGCCACCGACAACGACAGCCTCGCCTGCGGCGTGCTCACCCTCACGCTGTCCAGCAGCCTGGCCTCTGCCGCCAGCCATGGTGAGCCAGCCTCCTGCCTCCCTTAGTCGTGTCCACGGATTGTGTTTGGCACCGCTGACGCGCGCTGGCGTTGGTCTGCAGGTGCGGGCGGTGCGGGCTCCGGGCCGGACGAGGGCGGCGCGCGCTGGCTGGTGCTGACGCTGGGGTCGCAGCGCCGCACCTGCCAGCTGTCGTCCCAGTCGCCCAGTCGGCCTCGGAGAGCGTGTCGTTCCTGGTGAGCGCGGCGCAACTGCAGCCCTCGGCCACCTCGGCGGAGCGGCTGCAGGTGAAGCTCAAGGCCAAGCGGCTGGTGGGCGCGCTGACGCTCGCCCAGTACGAGCTGCCCCTGTCGGCCTACGTGATGGAGTCGGCGTACGCGGCGGACTCGCCTTCGGACGGTGCGCGCTCCAGCCTCGTGGTGGACACGGTGCTGCGCAAGGTCAGCAAGGCGTCCTCGCTGCAGCAGGCGCCCAACATCAACGTGCGCCTCGAATACACGCCGCTCCCCCCCATGCAAGCCAACCAGCCCGAGCTACCCATGTCAAATGGCACCGACTCACTACAGGCAAGAACTGCTGTTCCAATTCTCAATCATGTTATTTTCGTTTTCAGTGTTTGGGGAGTTTATTTACGTGCGTTTTAAATTGTTTTCTAACAGGGTGGTGTTCTACATGTTGTGATCCATGGTGCGGAAGGACTGTCACCTTCGGATCAAAATGAATGCAACCCGTACTGCATGATATTCAACAATCGACAGAAAGTGAAAACTACCCACTACATGCGCGGGACCACGTCCCCAGCGTGGGAATCTCGCACCCAACTGCTCGTGTCTGATTTCTCTCAAACATCTCTGTCATTTGTTGTCTGCTCATGGAGCTCTGCTAAAATGGCAGACACAGACCTTCTCGGGGTGGCTGTTTTAAATATGGCTAATGTAGAGTCTTTTGGTGTACACAATTTTCAGTTTATTTTTTTAATTAATTTTCTTGGGATTCTCTCGAATAGATTTCGCTTTTGCAGACTGAAAGGAGATTGGCACAACGGCATCTGGCTCTCACTGGCAATAGTGCTGCTGCAAACATCACTGTTTCTGTTGCGTTCCAGCCGGTAGCCTCAGTATCTGTATCTAATTCTATATCAAGACTAGGAACTGGAAGTCTTCATGAAAGGGACAGACAGCGCCCTGCTTCTCCAGACCAAAGAAATATTGATGACTTCTCCACTTTTACGAGGGGAAAGCGCAACAGTAATACATGGATGCATCAAGCTGTAAGAACACCTTATCATTTTTTCTTTTTCTTGATTCTTCACACTTAAAGGCTTACTTATTAATGATTTATCACTCATTGCAGAAGATGCTTTTAACTCACAAAGATAATGATACAAGTGTATCCGATATTAGCAATCTTCTTTCAAATGGTCAAGGATTGATTGAAGTCAGCTTTTTTAGAGCACGGAACCTTGTGGCCAAGGATTTGAATGGCTTTAGTGATCCATATTGTGAAGTGAAAGTAAATGGAGAGTGCAAATATAAGACTAGTATCCAAAAGAAGACTTTAAACCCTGTATGGGAAGAAAGCACTATCACAGGGATGCCAAATCACTCTGAAATATTGGAGATAGTAAGAGATTTCATATTTGCTATTTTTGGCATCATCATTGCCAAATCAATTGTTTATGTTTTATTCCCTTCTTTTCAGTTAATTTGGGATCATGACATTTTTGGCATGAAAGATTTTCTTGGCAGTATAACTTTTACCTGTGATGAAATAAGACGTTGTTCTGCTATTGATGCTCCTCAGTGGTTTCAACTTCAGAACACTAAATCTGGAAGTGTTGAAATTAAAATGAAAGTGATATCTGATATGGAAATGGAGGTAGGCAAACCCTTTAATTGCTTTTTATAGCTCTGTCTACGTTGTTTGTATGTTTAGAGCTTCTTTGTTTGCTGCGTAAATTTTTTAAATTATTGAATATTTTTGACAGAGTTGCAGCAGTTACGCACCTAGCACTGCTCCAAGTGTGAATAGTTGCACCAGTTCACCCCGCCTTCCCATCAAAACTGAGAGTGACAGAGACTCTAATTATAGTTTTAAACCGATAATTAGACGACCCTCGATGGAGCGTTCACGCCTTAAGCTGCATGTTGATCCACCCCCTCCTCCTCCGAGAACTGTCACTCTTCAACACAAAGGAACAAATAAGGAAGGTACTTAACCACTCAACAAATTCATGAAAAAAAATATTTAAAAATATATTTTGGTTTTTAATTTTTTGGTCAATCTTTTCCAATTCTATTTTCAAATTTTATGGCAGCACCCAATTCATTGGTGGGGAATGCAAATTCAACTGAGACAACTTTGAACTCATCAGAAATAAATCTCAACAAAGTGAATGGCAATGGTGTTCATAATCAATTGAGTGAATCCATGCTTGCTAGTGGTAGTTGGAGCCCAGTCAATTCAGCCACTTCATCACCTTTGCCTGTGCCTCGGCTTTTGGTCACATCACCTCATAGCAGTGCGCATAGTTCGCCGGGTCGATTTTCCTTACGATCACACAAGCCACCTTTGAGTGGACTCAGTCCCAGTGGCACTCACTCAGGCTTTGAGGCCAATGATGAGAGCCCATTCAAGAAAGGAAACGAATACAGCAGCTTAAGGATCATGAAACAGAAGGTACTTAAAGAGTTTTTATCAATTAACTTACAGTTGTTCAGGTACCTTTGAGTTTAGAAAGTTTTTTTCCTTTCTTTAATTTTTAATTAGGAAAACCAGCATCTATAACCCAGTGCTCTCAGTTGCAGTTCTATCTATTGGATTAGTAGAGTTGTGATTGGTTGTTTAGTGATCGTTTTAATATCCACCTTTTTAGGTAAAACAAGGTCTTCGTTTGAGAAGGTTCCGATCAGAAATTAATTTTTATGAGGAAAAGAATGGGAAAAATAGTGCATCAGGGATAACACTTCAACCTCGAAGTGCAGAAGAAGCAGATGAATCTGAAATGCTGCATGGAGAGCCATTGTCTCACGCTGTGTCGCAACCTAGCTTATTCTCGTCCAAGCCCAAAAGACCAACAGGTATTGGAAATGTAAAAGATAAATTTTATAACTCATCATCTTCCCAACTATCTACCATGCGGCAATTTCTTTTAGATCTGAAGGGGCTTGCAAGTCCTCGTCCAGACACTTATGTAGGTGTAGAGGGCAAAGTTCTTCAAGCACAGGGACTGCATGTTGCCCATGTTGCTCAGCTCTACTGCCGCGTCAAACTGCAGACAGTAGTCAGTCCAGAGAAACAGACCAGACTGAGTAGCAATAGTGCAACTGGAAAAACGGCAAGTTCGCATTTATTATCTACTATCTGTTCTGTGCCTGCTAATTATAGTATTCTCATACAGGTTGGAAAGTCCCGTCTTCTTCCTGCTGTTCCAAATCCACGATTTGATCTCCACTTCCAATTGGATTCATCATCGCCAATCCCGAGACAAGCTGCACTGCTCTTTGAAATACGGAGTGCCAGCAAAGACATTGTGGCTTCCAGGCGCATCACTCTTCAAGATTTACTGTCAGGTAAGATGTCAAGCAATTTCACCATGGAAGGTCAATATTTATTGGCTCTACCTAGATCAGAAACCGAGCTATGCAGCAAGAGCAAGCCTTTGTTCTCATGTTGATGTCTAGTTTCTGAAGCATAGCAGGGTTTTTGTGATGAGTGGCCTTCCACTTAAACTCGTTTACTGATTCACCTTGTATTAATTACCATCAGCTGCTGCCCCAGACACAAATGAAGTGCACACATGGTTGGCTTTAAACAATGGAGCCTCTGTCGAAGTAGAAGTTGCCCATGGCAGAGAGTTAAAGAAACCTGCTCGCAAAATTTTTCGCAGCTGGTCTGTACATCGCATTGGCAAAATTTGATAACACCAAGAATATTCAGGTGTGTAGTTGATGCAATATCTTCTTTTTAAGAATATGACTGTTGTAATTATTAATTATTCTTATTCATAGCTATGAACTGAATTGTGTATGTGATTTTTGTATAAATGTAATTTAAATAGATTCCAATTGTATGGGAACAGTCACTTTTTCCAGAACCCATAAGCAAAAGATAAACTAGTGAAATAAAATATTTTTTTAAAGATGTGCTGTACTGGTAATTAAGCTAAAAATCCAGATCTATCTGTAGAACAACTTATATTTTAGAAATGTAAAAAGGGTTCTTTAGACACAGTAGTAGCATGATTGGGATATCAAGATCTGGTAATATTTTCTTTATTTAAAGACTCTTTAATCATCATCAGTAAATCCAACTTGATATACATGCCAAAATCAAATTCCAACACTCATGCGCTCAAGAATGTGTTTTCAAATGAGTTATATAGCTACCGAAGCTTTGTTAAAGATGCAACATAAACCCAGATTGATAATATATTATTTGGAAATGGATGAATGTACACTGCTAAGGCAAATTCGGCATTTTCATCTTGGTTGTGGTGGACTCCAGTTGCTCGAACTGCTTCAACGATAGCTTCAACTGAAGTATATGGTAGATTTATAGGAAATCCACAAACCTATAACATCACATCAAAATATTAATATGTTTTAAGCAAGTGCTGACTTGGGAAACTTAGGAAAGGAATTTCACAATCTAAATATATTATCAAAAATCTTATATAAACCTTATGAGAAGTCAAGATATGCTGCAATTCCCTAGAATGGTGAGGGCTAGAATTTTCTCCAGAACCAAAACAACTAGCATTTTCTAGCCGAGGCAGTAATTTGCGAAGGGTAGCAATACAGTAACGATTCCACAGTGTTCTGTAACAAAAAGAAACAAAATCTATGTTTCAAATCAAAATACAAAACAGATTTTTTTCAACAACTTAATTTGAAGGGTTACATTTTTGTACGCCTCCATTTCATAAGAGAATCTCTTAAAAAGTTTTCAACTTTATCTTGTAAGATATTTGAGGCATTGGTGGATGTTGGAGAATAGTGCAAGGAAGAGGGTTGCACACTCCCAACAGGGGCAGATATAGCACCTCTTCGGCTTCCAAAGGCAGCCATCCAATCTGATCTGCGATTCAAATCAAACTGAGTGCGCCGAGGAAGTTCCTCCTTCTGCAAATTAATCCAAATCTAACATACAAACAATGACATATTAGTAATCAAATACCACCATATATTCTTACATGGAGATTATAACATAAAATTACTTCTTACATTTTCATCATTTACGAGGCCATAGACTCGTTGCAAAGGACAGAATGAATCAAATATACTGTAGCACTGCCCTGCTGTTGGGTCCCAAACCCAAAAGTGTGATTTATTCTGCTCTTGTTTCTCATGGACAAACACATAAGCTGTTAGACCGTGTGGTATGCCCGTCCCTACCAAAAGCCAGGCTTTCTTGCCTAATCCCATCAAGTAGCAGCAAAGCAGAACTGCATGAGCCCATGGATCTCCCCAGCCCAGACGCAGAACTTGCTGAAATATGACTTTGATTAAAAACAAGTACATAGTACGAGAAAATTATACAAGTCATGAAATATAAGGGAGTACCCACATCACAGGTTAACCAAACGTCAAACATTCCTTGGTTTGGAGCCACTGGTACCATAGACACAAATCTTGCAGCCATGTGCTCTGTAATTGTCCCTTCACCTAACAGGGCTACTCAAAGGCGATTATTCAATGCATAGAATTAAAAGACACAGCTTTTATAATTTTTTTAAAAATATTATTCTAATAATGTACTTACCTGGTGGTGTTAAGGGACGGAAAAATCTAGTAATGCAAACTGACTTTCCACTTGCATCAATGACTAGAGTTTTAAACTGCCTATGTGGGACAACCACATTCATTTCTTCCTCAAAATGGAGAAGATGCTCTTCCAATACTGACACTTCACTGCTATCAAGACGTTCCTGAAATAAATATGGCATAGTTCACAATACACATGTAGAATATAATACCTTCACCACACAGTTGTGTGAACTGAGTGAATCTTACATTGAATGGTTCTGGAGGGTTCAGAACAGGTAGCACTGTAATAAATAGGTTGAGAAAGGTAGCATCCCTGTTTGGAAATAATTGGCCACCTTGATCTGAAGAGAATGTTCCTGGCTGCCAGCCTGTCCTCTGGTGGGATTCTCTCTCATAGCCAAGAAGCATTGAGGGAGAGTACATTTTAAAGGTTCCCTCAATCTACAAAATTAAACCAATTCATTTAAAAAAAAAAAAAAATACTTGGAAGTAAAATTTTGTTATCAAAATCTGTTTTTAGCCTGGTAAGAAATATAAATACTTACTCTTGCATTATGGACCAGAGTTGAAAAAGGAATGTGCAAGCTTGCCAGCCAATTACGTTCTAAACGCTGGTGGATGCTTGTTTCTCTTTGTCTGTCGTCCTCCACAAGATCAACAATGACTTCATCAAATAAATGAATAAAAAGAGTATCAGATTCGGTACTTCCAGGCCTGTAATGCTATGAGTCTCATTAGAATTTATTTCATCCTTCCATTCATGTGTGAAATGAAACTCATCTGATATTACCTCACTGGAATTTGAAGATCCTGATTCCATGTTGGGTTAGCTCCCTCAGCAGTAGTAGTGCGAAAAGATAATCCCTGAAATGATACTTCAACAAATGGTCGCACAGCAACTGTAGCAAAACCAAGATTTGTAGATGAGGGCACAGATACAGATCCTAGCAGTGAATCAGTCATCTTACGAACAGGAACTTCAAATGCCCGTATGACATTCACCATTAATCTGACTTCTTGTCCAGCAAGACTCTGAACAGCTACTTTTTTGCGTTCTTTGCGTAGTGGTCTCAAAGGCCTTTTGGGTTGCAACCACTTCATAAACGTCAATCCTAATGTACTAAAAAATTTAAATTTAAAAAATTTAAATACATTGTACAAAGAAAAGAGCAAAAATACGTCTCATCATAAGAACAAATATTTTACCTAATGTCGGGTACTTGATCCTCTGCTACAATATGATGCAAGTTGGCACTACGCTGTGCTTGTCTACACTGCGCAAGAACCCTCTGATAAACTCGTTCCAAATATAATCGACCCCAGGCTCTGTGAGATGACAGTGGATCAGACCACATCATTTCAACATCAAGTTCAGTCTCTCTAGCACTGACGCTCAACCTTTTCTCATAGGACTTTACATGTAAAAAGGCAGAAAGGAAAATTTGAACATGTTTAAACATATAAGAGAATATGTCTCAACAAAATATTTTTACCACCTTAAAAATTTCAGTTGAAATTTCTTTTTCTCGGTTTGGTATTTGCTTCCAGTCACGGAATTCTGTCTCTCCTTGGGCGCGTAATACTAACAGACGCAACCTTCGGTTTTTATCAAGAAAGCTGGGTTCACAGAAATCAAAATTGCATTGCAAAGGACTTAAACGAAAATAGTTCAACTCCTGCTTTGAGTTTGCACTGAGGTTCTGAAAGAAAAAAGTTACAATTAACAGTAACACAATACACTAAATAGTAGTTACCTAAAGATAAACAGATATAAAAATTACAACCTTCAAGAGAAAAAAGAAAGAGGCATTGGACGGATCATTAGGATCAAGTTGAGATTTTTGAGCCCACTCTGTCAATTTGGTAAGATCAAAGGAGCCATCTTTACCCAAATCAGCCAGAAAATCAGATGATTCGAGCTCACTGAAAATTTTTTTCAAGAATTAGAGAGAAGAAGCACAACAGAATACAACACAAAAATTTTTAATTAAAAAAAAAAAAAGTTTAACAAATCTAGTGACTTTTTTTTAAGAATCTTCTGAGGAAACTATGACCAGGAATCTTAATTTTTTAAAGGCAATGCAATTTAGTACAAATCTATGTACTCTTAATTACAGCATACCTGTCAGTAGGGGGCAAATATTTTTGTTGAGGGGCAAGAATCAAATTTTTCTCCTTGTCTATGCCCCATCCGGCCCGGCAACACACAACACCAGATGTGTACAAGCATCCATTAACACCAGGAGATCCACTAATGAATGTCCCACTTCCCACCCCAGCATGACTAAAAGACACAATCCGATCACTGCTAAACTCATGATGATCCAAAACTGCCGTTTTTAAGGTCTTGTCTCTAAAAGAGGGAAACAAAGCAGTAAAGATTTACCCATGTGTACAATGTTACATGATAGTCCTTGCTTCCTATATACTCACGCAGCTGGGATAGGCAAGAATACTTGAGCAAGCTGGTGCCTACCTCCTCCAGCACCATCTTCAAATACTGCAAGGTGAATACTCTCAGGTGGCTGAAGAATTCTGATTGAGAAGCACTCATTGAAGACTACTTTAAATTTTGCATTAAGAGAATATGATTGAGTTTTGCACACTTCTTTATTATTGTAGTAGATACGAATAAATAACTGGCACCGCTTCAAGGCACTACATCGTTGCTTCTCTCTGCAATTTCCCAACAAATTATAGGTCCACAGAATAATAATCACATCAATGAGAATAAAACAATGAAATTTAGCCCACCTCGCATCTTTGGGATCATCTGTTGCCTTCTCAGACTCTTTTAATGAAATTTTCAGCTTAGGCTCTCCAGGAGGACGTAAACATAGAGACATTTTGTCAAAAACTTGCGCTTTGATACTGCTTATGTCAACCGGCTTAGGTTCTAGTGGCTTGTCCAACAGCACAAAACCACCTGTATTTATCATAATTTGTGATGTTCTGTCACTATTTGTGTGGTCCTCTGTTCCTTCTTCACTGTAAACTATCGGTATGGACTCTGACTGTATGTTAGTTACCTTTCCTCTCTGCAAGATTTAAAAGTTAAATGTCAATGTAACATCACTGAGTTCAATAAAGGGCACTAGCAACATGTACACAGAATCTATCATTGTACCAACCATAATTTCTTGTTTCTTCCAAACTTTTAATTGAGATTGATAATGCTCCCACTCAGAGCTGAATCTTTCTTGTTCTTCCATTTCAAGTTCAATACATGCTTGTCGTATCTCTCTTTCCCATTTAGCCTTTTCAGCTAATAATTCCTTCTGAGTCAACTGCTCACAATGAATGACCAGCCTATGAGGGGTACATGTGAAACCTTGAACATCTCTAAGCTTTTTAAGATCACGCCAAATAGAAAGGAGGGAAACAAGTAGTTGGCGGCTTTGAAATCCTTCAGCTAGTAAGTGTTGCCACGTAGCCCGAACTTCTTTTTTGTACCTGAGCAAACATGCATTCTCCCATGAAAAATGTTAAAACAAACAGCAAAAAAATCAATATTGTTTTATGTCAATTACATTTTCATACGGTCCAATTGTTGTGGAGAAATGTCAGCAGCATTAGAGTTTAGCAAGGCTTGTAGATTATCATATGCTTGGCGTAATGAATCTAGACGGCCTGATAGTCTTTCTTCTTGTTGCATAGCTTCTCTTACTCTGTAATTAAACTCTGCAATTAAAGGATGAAATGTGTGCAAATTCAAATTATAGAATCATTTTCAACAGTTGAAGTACCTGTATTGATTATACAAATTTAACAGACGTTGAGCAAGCACATGTTCCTGACTAAAAAGAGGATGGTGCTCGAAGTGAAGCGTCCCAATGTGGATTTCTAGTAGGGCATAATTGACACCTTCAGAAGCTACATTGCTTTGAAAGATGAGAGGTTTTATTCCCTGTATGTTGTACCAAAATAGTCATGATTATGAATTACGATTTTAAAAAATATCTTACTTTAAAAACATTGTAATGGGATGACATACAGGTTCATATTCAACATGCTGTAAATTTGTAGGAAAATCTTCTATTTGAGGTCTATAAGGAGTCAACCTGATGGGATTAGGTAGAACATGTAACTCTCCATCATCTCCAAACCAATGTCTGAAACCAGAGGACAAAATTAAAAACTGCCATAAATACAAAAGTTTTTTGGACCATCCAAGTAATCCAAGGTACTTAAAATTAAACACACAAATGCTGAAAGTAGTTTGAAAGTTTCATTTATTTCTCAACTTTTACCTTCCCCCTTGTTCAAGCAATCTCTTTTCTAAGCGATGGCAGTTGCTTGAACGTACTTTAGGTCGAAAACCAACAAAGAGCCCTTCTTCTTCTCTGTATCGGACCTCCTTTCCTGGAGCAAGGCGATCTTCTAGTGGGACTGAAAATTAAACTGCATTGAAAGACTTGGACTGCACGACTTGAAAACTAGGAAAGGAGCACTTAGACTTACCGAGACTTCTTGTTGGAAAGAAGTATAATTCAGACTCTTTAGTACGAGATTCATGATCATCAGGAAGTGAAGGTCCAGCATTATGATCAACTACTTCCCATTCATCTCGGGTAAGACCTAAATAATCAGCTGCCAGTAACTTGGACTTATCTGCTCCACTCATATCCAAATGATCCTCAGCTCGTTCTGTTAAAATAAAATATATAGTACACTAAAATAACCAAACAGTTTCTGCACACAATTATTTTAGCCGTAAGAAGGAAAAATTGAATGCATAAGACGTATTTTATAACAATCTTTATTGCTACATAGAGCCTTTCATACTCTTTTTGTCCTTACAGACCTCTAAAGATGTGCATTTACTGACAAAAAATTAGGGCAGTGTTCTGGCCCACCTGGAATGAGTCAATTTTTTACCTGATGATGAGACAGAATCTCCTTCATCTTGGGATGCTAGAGGAGCTGGAGAGCCTATTGTTGTTGGTTCAGGTTCCCACACTCTGGTAAAGAAATCAATGGATGAGTCTGCATTTGAAACCTGTAAATAGATTAAATATAAAGGTCCAAAATTACTTTTTTTTTCCTACCAAAAAACCAATTTAAAGAAATGGATTTTCAGAGATTTACTTGTTCTGGAAGTTTGTCAGGAGAGAGTCTTTTATGGTGAGAGTTTTGGTGTTTCTCCAATGCAACTTCTAGTTCCATTTCTTCCTTCTTAAACTGAAATCAAGCAACTATAATTTTAGACATATGCAATTTGGGGAACGAGGTATTGGTTGTCCTCTGGCATAGAAATAAAACTTACCAGTTCATCAACCCGTGACTGAGCAGCTTTCTGCTGACTTATGTAATCACTAATAGGGTTCCTTTTAGCCTTTGTTTCAGGCTTAATGTTGCCAGCTCTTACCTGAAATTCCAAAGTCAATCATAAAGAACAAACAGAATTTATATTCTATGAAGTGTTGGTTAAAAGTGGTGCGCTAACCTTGACACTCTGGAATCGATCCTTCAATCTGTCTCGATATGATCGAGTCTCAGAGTGAGACTGTGATGTCATACTGTAGCTTCCGTCAAGTGATGAATCACCCACAGAAATTCTCCTGGTAATATCTGGTTCAACCTCATCTTTAGCCACCTGATCAGGTGGAAACAAGAATACAATGTATTAATGACTATAATATTTTATTTGTATACTTTTAAAATATGGCTTACTTGGGTCTGGTACTTTTCATTCTTATTGTTTGGAGTTTTTGAGATTCTTGGAGTGGTTTCATTTGACGCATGTAAGCTGTTAGGCTCAGAGTCACTGGTCTTCTCATTTAAGTTTTGTATCAATTCATCATGAGATTTTGCAGCAGGAAGATCTAACTAAAGAAACAAAATTAACTGTAAAATTTTAAAAAATATGTGTGGAAGGTTTAGAGACTATCAACTTCAATAAAACTTGCTTACCTTTAGAGACTTGGGATTGTTGTCAGCTGTTTCGACAATTCTGGCTCGAACAACAACCTCAGGGTATTCCTGTCTGGCAGCTGTGGCAGGATTGCGATGAGCTCTTGAGGTGTTTTTGATGCTTTGCTGGCTCTTCATATTTGCTTCCGTCTGCTTTATTTTATCAGGTTCATCGCTTGATGAAGCACTTGTAGAGCTGAGGCTTAGCTCTGGAAGCTCATCTTCAACCTGCAGCAAAGGGTTGAACATTCGTTCATCAAACATACAACGATATTATCAGTACCAGTGGTTTTAAGTAGTTTGAAGTCTCACCCAAGCTGTTGGTTGCTTTGCCTGTCGCAATGCTGACTGACCAACATTCCCTTTTCCGCTTTCTACGTCTAAGGAACTCATACTAAGGTAGTCTTACACCGGTTGCGTAGTTGCTGCTGTCGTAAACCGTTCACAAAATGTAAACTGATGTCCGATGTCAAAGGGCTAGCTAAGGGGGACAATCAAACAAGCAGCCGACATCCGACATTTGTAAACAACAAATACTACCAACACCACCACACTCACTTTCTTTCAGTCCTACTGCTTCCCCCCTCCCCCCTTCCTCCTAAAAAAAAACAATGAAGGAGAGGAAAGATATAAATATGAGCAATATTTATTATTTGGCGATTCCATATTTCGAGCTGGTTAATGATTTCGTCCTGGTACTTGCCGAACGTTTCGGTTGAAATTTAAAACGGAGGGCAGTGCCTCCCTGTCAAAAAGCCAGCCAGCCAGCAGACCACTTTTTAAAGCAAATTTAGTAGTTTGTTATCCTATTTTTATAGTTGATTACTTTGTCAAAAGTCTTGTATTATCAAAATTTGGTTTAATTTTGGAGTAACGTCGTATGTCGTGTTCGAAATCGGAGAAGTAGAGTAGAAGTAATTTCACAGCAGCATTGTTGTGGACTGTCGGATCCTCATATTTATGAGCTCAGTCAGCAGCGAGCTCAGCTGATGGATGAAGGCTGACTAAACCAACCCATTCAAGGAATTTTAGTCTGTTGTTTAAGAGAAGAACCGTTTCCTAGTGCCTACACCGGTTTGATATGTCTATCATTGAGGAAAAGAAAATGTGGCTTTCATGAAATTCATTTTACTGGGGACCCGAGGTTGAACTTGTATTCAGTCTCGTCGTACGTCCAACCTCATTTCTGCATCAGCCAGAAAAATAAGGTATTTATATCTTTCCATCTTATTGATTTATTTTTGACTCAGTTGTTCGAGTAAATTCGTACATTGTAAGTCTGCCATGAGTGTGTACAGGATATCTTTCAATTGCTTATGTCTTTCTTTCTCTCTTTTGTTATCTGGTTCCATCATATTCCTTTATTATAATACATTAATAATTGATATGTTTTCGGCTGTGGAGAATATGCTTCCTTTCTTTTACCCTAATTAAATTTGTCAATGTTTTATGTCAACTTATTTAGCTCAATGGTACTCAAAAGTGTAGCACTCTTAGATCCCATTGATCTATGGACGTTTGTTTGTGTTTCTCATGTTGAACATGCTTCCTTAACAAATGTCTTTTATCAGTTACCATTGTTGCAGAATGTCCGTTTCGGGCGGAGTGATGTCAAAAGTGGCACTAGACGCAGCCCTGGATGAATTGGGTATGCTGAGCTCTATCACCAACAGCCGTCAAGAATACATTGCAGAGCTTTCGAGACTTGCTGCTCTAGAAATACTGCAGGATCGCGATGTGGGCTCAAGTAATGCTGGTAATGGAATGCGTACTCGAGCAAGCAGCATGTCGACTGTTAATGGGCGCACCTTTGTTTTGAAGAGATTCAAGGATTCTAGGTTAAGATTAAAGCCATATGATGGGTAAGAAAAACAAAACTCCTTATGCTTATTTCTTGAATTTCCATGGATCCCACTGATAACATTGCCTCCAGATAATGTTGTGATGTGCTGAACAGAATCACTCATCACACTTGAGTGTTTACCTTTATTAAACATTCTCCTTCCTGTAACCTAAAGATATCTCCCAAGTCGCCATGTTATGAGTGGGTCCCCCTGAATATTGTTTGCATTTTTTTGCATTTACTTGCGGCCTATTCTTAAAGAATTTTTTTTTTTAAATTTTCAGGTTAAGGTTATCAGAACCAAAAAGTTCACGAAGAAGATCACGAACGCAAAGCGAAAATGAATCAGACCTGCTTGATCATTTGCCCCACTGTGCACCTAACCAGCACCCTAGTTTAGAACCAGTGCCCTATATTGCTCTCCCTATAGACAGTGTCTTAGCAAGTAACTTGTTTAAATCACGGTCAATGGAGAGTATTGATGCACGGACCAGTGATGAAAATGTATGCACCGCAGAGAAAGAGCTAATTTCCGATACAATTGCCAGTTTAAGAGAAGTAGACTCTGTTTCTAGTGGACTTCATAGACTGAATGTCAGTGAATAAATTAACATTAAAGGTGTTGCTTTCAAAGGAGGTGAACTATTGTAACTTTGTCATCAATATCATTTTCTAAATGGAACTTATTTATTATTTAGTTTAAATAAGTGATATTTGGTGTAGGGAAAGTCTGTTTATGAACATCATCTGTGTTGGCGGTCACAATTGCATGCAATTTGATTGCAACTATTTATTGTAACTGCTCTCCCTTAATTAATTCTCCAGTATCCTGGTTATTTCAGTTTTTGAACCTACCCCATTTCTTTGTGTGTACCGATGCATATACGTAACATAATTAATATATGCTTGAATTGCACCATGTATTTATTTTGTAATGATTAAGGGAACATTGGCTAGTATTGAATCTTGTCAAAACAAGACTGAAGAAAATTGTTCAAATGTTTTTGATGTTCATAACACATGGGGTCATAGTGTGTTTTTTATTTAGCAGGGAACCATCAGCGATTTTTGAAACTGTTTAATATTGATTCAAAAGTTTTAGAGTTCCTAGAAATTTGCTGAGCAGGGTGCTACAATGGGAAATTCATTTTGATACAAAGAAACAAAAGCCCATTTATAGCTTGTACCTTCATGATGGAAGGAAATCAATAAGTATGCAATGGCAATTGTCCTATCAACTTTGGTTTCGTGGATTTCCCAAGTTTGCTGTGAAGTATCTCATGGGAGCCATCCTTCCTTCTCCCTCTTTTTCTCACATTACACTTGTTTTCTTTTCTGAGTGTAAAGGTAAATTTCCTCAGGATGTTCAGACATTCTTGACATCATACAAGAGTCTGAAATTTGTTTGTTTTTGTTTCTTAAATTACTGGTTTTAATTTTGCTACTCTTTGAATGTTCAGTAAATGAGAATTTTGGCACGCTATAATGTACTTTTCCATGATGAATTATTTCTGAGAAATAGGATGTTATTTGCTCATTTAATGTTAATGAAATGTGTTACATTAACGTCTATTTTCAAAAACAAATCATACAATTTGACACAAGATAGTCTTGTTTAGTGGAATTTAAAAATAACACTCTGGGAGCCAACTGGACTTTTTTTCATCCATCTTTTGTAGATAGTTTGTGTCTGTTCCACAGTGCTTCACAATTCCCTCAAGCTTAAGCAGTGGTGTGTTGGCCTCAATATTGCTCATGGAAACAGATGCTGATCTCAGGTCCTTTTCATCACAGAGGGGTGTTGGAATGTTTGATAAATACTTTATAATCATGATTAAATTTAGGTTGCTCAAGTTTAGTGCATTTTTCTTTAACCTGCAGGAAGTCTGATAGTGATAATTTGTATACATCTTTGGTTTGCAAGGCAACCTTGTTTTTGTTCCATCTGGCTGTTAGTACCTGGACTAGATATTCTTTTTGAGCTTACACTGTTACTGTTGCTTTAACCAGCAATCCCTGTACAATAAATTAGTTTATAAATGCATGAAAGGACCACAAGAATGCACAAACTTGTAGCTTACTATTGTTGATTAATATGTACGTTTGGTGTGTACCTGTTTTTTCTTTTCTTTTTCTTCTGGTATATTGCAGTTGAATGTTTGCAATGCCAGATTGTTGTTAAACCTACAGAAATGTTATATTGTATTTTTAATGCTATACTACATGCAATGCATAAACTTGATTGCTGTATTTTTGTTCATAGCACTTACTACTTGTTAAATTACACTAAAGCAGTTCTACCTGTTTTGCCAGACTATGTAGGGTATCACATCAAAGTAAAACACGGCATCAAGGCAGAAGTGACAGAATGTCTATTTTGAAATTTGTTTTTGCACACATCACAAAGACTACAGACAAGCAAGATAAATACAACACTATGTTCATAGTTCCTCCTGCTACTTTGCATTAGTTTATTAACTTTGCTACCTTCAGTTTGATTTTTAAAAAAAGGAGAAAAAAAACAAAAGGACTTAACAAATTTCCCCTCTCCCTTGTGCTCATGTGCAAATCACTTTTACATTACAAATTAATTAATCAAAACCATAAAACAGAATGAACATTTGGAATGTCTTAAAATTCAAAACTAAAAGTTGGAGATACTATTGAAATATAACAGGTACAGAAATGATACTTAATAGTAGTCCAAAAGCAAAACCTGATTAAAACAGAGTAACAAGACTTCCACAAGTGTGAACTTTCACAATACATGATGACTTGCCATCTACGATGAGCTAGCAGCCATTCGCTCAATCACATGAAGAAACTCTTCCTCCAGATCTTTGTACTGTCGGTCTAAACTTTCGAGGCGCTGTGATTTATCCTTGAGGTTCAGAGCAGTTGCCTTAAGTTCGTCTTCACTCAAGACCTTTTGCAATTTCTCAAGCATCAAGTTCTCTTTCTGTCAAAATAAATAATCTTATTAGCGACAGGATCCTACATTAGCCCACTGTATACGGTAAGCTTTAACAGGTGCTGAAATACGACACATACCTGAAATGGTGTGTTAAGTCTCTTTTTCACATCCAAGCGATACTGCCTATATTCCTCTGAATCACTTCGATTGGTTGCTCTCAGCCTCAGAATCTCATACACTCGCCTGGCCTGTTTCTATGAAGTGAGGGACAGAAAATTGATAGTCATTAAGAAGACTGGAACTGAAATATCCCAAATACAAGCCCCTGTTTTCCCCACAAAATTGAGCTTAAATAATGGCGGGGGGTCCAGTCTTAAGGGATATATTCCATATGAGCACCTTAACATTTGGCGGGAGGGGGTAGGTGGGAGGAGGAAGCGTATATTCAAAACATTATGAGATGCGCTCAAAAGTAGACTTACCTTATTGATCTTGAATTTCTCTCTGGCTTCTAGTGCCATTTCATTTGGGCAAAATCCTCTTTTCAGTGCATCAGGTTGGTAACAAGAAAGCTGCTTCAAATTTTCACAGTCCACATAATCTCTAAGGAATTGGAAATCTTGAGACGGATCTTCCACTGCAACATTTTAAAGGTGGTGTGGAACATAAATCTTGACCAACTTACCGCAAAGGTTTAAGTTCATATACAATACCTGTTATATCAAGGACTTTCGCATTACCCATATATCGGTTGTAAATAGTTCTAAGCAAATTTGCACCAATACCTTGCCTCTGGAAAGGAGGAAGTACAAGGAATTGACTAATGCGGGGCCGTTTGTTTTCAGGGTAGGCATAATAATCATAGACAGTTGCATATCCAGCAATAGCATACAAAGTATTGCCATCTCTCTCATACTTTTCATAGCTGCAACAAAAATTGACGAAGTCATTTACCACAGCAAGTAGACAAAAGCCCTTTATCATGTTTGAATGGCTGATTCTCCACCAGTCAGCTGCCAGTTCCCCAGTCAGTAGGAGATACAACCTACGTATTCATAAAAGTCAAACACTTACCAAGTAAAAAATCTCCAGTTATCATCATCAGTGTCTATATATGAGGATGCATCAATGTACCACAGAACGAATGTTTGAAGTCGGCTGTGATACTTAATAAAGTCAGCATTGGAAGTTTCACAATAGTATATCTCACAGGTACTTGGGGCCTTACCATCTAACAAAGAAAAAAACATTAATACATTAATTTTACAGAGCAAAGTGTGTAGTAGCTTCCTCTGGAAAATGAAAATAGTTTGATATAGGAAGGGCTTCAGAGGCTTGCAAGCTAATGGGGCTAGAACAAACGTCCCTAAAAACATGCTCATGTATTTGTAAAAGAAATACAGAACAAAATCTCAGGGATCACTTGTACAGCTGCCACAAAAACTCAAACAAACCAAGATCATCACTAGCCCTAAGTGTGCCTCAGATTGAAAACTTTATCCATCATTTAAAGCATGTAAAAAAGCATGACTTTATCAATGCATGTTGTCCTCACTGGCCACTTGGGTACAATCAATTTGAACAAAGTAATGCATATGCTGAAAATCACAAAGAAAACTAACATACCCCTTTCAGTTTTGAAAGAGTGGACAAGTTCCCCATGCGGTTTGAAACTTGATTCCTTGTTCAGACTTTCCAAAAAAGTATCAAGATTGACCATGAAACCTGGTGGTATTTTCTCTGCTACAATCCTCATGATATCATCAGGCTGAAATAGGAAAGAGAAATGCATATGAGATAAGTTACTAACAAACCATAGAGTACCAAGGTGCTAAGGCTTAACAGGTACCTCAACTCCATCAAAATCATCTGGATCTGCAGTCTCTTTGAAATCTATTCCCAAGTACGTATTAAGTCGACCAGCAGTGTAGTACAACTTGACTTTCAAGTCTCGATATCCAAAGATTCTTTCACTAGGAAGGAAAAGAAACAGATGAAAAACATTTCAAAAAAGGCTCAGTCAGTTCATACATGGAATGACACTTACTTTTCTCCAAATACCTGGTGTGACATTTCTGGACGGAAGGTGGTTTTTTCATCTTTTAAATCATCAGCATGTCGAACTGCAATAGAAAGGAGATAAGCCAAGAACTGTGATATAAAAACAACTAAGGCCGCAGTGACTGCAATCACTTACCTAGTTTAAACTCCAATGCAGAATTGCTGTCAACAAGAAACGCCTCTGAACAATCGCCAGCAATGTCCATCTGAACAAGGTGAGAGAAATAAGAATAATTTCTTCAAGAACCGACGTCAGACAAAGCAAACAGGAGTGAAAGAAGAGGAATTCATGTAAAATTTTAATATTGAAACAAAACAATGAACACAGTTAGGAGTTGAATGAGAAGATATAAGTGAGAATAGGCTCATTCTAATGTCCGATGCCCAAAGTAGAAAGGAAAGAGCACGGGACAGTCGCTTCACCAATCACTCACGATGTTTGTCCGGCTTGACTTCTGCAAAATCCACACGTGTTCTCAGTTTCTGACAATGAAGAGCTTTCCAATCCAACTGCTACAAATAGAGGGAAACTATGGTGTGGTCGGTGACGATTCTGCTACTGCGCGCGAAACGGGGATTTCAGCTTCAGCTTACAACAACTCGCACCAACGGCCGATCGCGGCAGAGAGAAGAGAAGAAATTGCTCCACTCGGCCAGGGTTGTACTATTCGCACGCAAATTGTGTTGACATGAAGAATATTCTCATATTCTCTCTCCACTCCCCACCCACCGCACCACCGCACCCCCCCCCCTTCCACCTATCAAAAACATATATACGCTCGGCCACGGGTCTAACTTATTTTCTTCGGAACCATGCTGTTTTTATCGTAGTTTATTGCTCTGCGTGAGATGCAGAGCAAATGAAGAGTTCACCTAAGCTGACGTGATCCATGCTGATAAGTTAGTCCCTTCAAACATACTGTTTGCTTGCTGTCTGCTGCTGTGTTGGTGACATAACCGCAACATTTTGACACTGACATGTACCATAGTTGTCGTATCCTATTACTTCTCTTCTTTCATTTGATGGTCTGGCGCGAGATTTTCCTTCTAGTTTACTTCAACTTGTTTCAAAGTCATTTCCCATTGGCTGTCATCTATCACCTCTTATGTCTATGGGAATTGTTCTGTGCAATGCAATCTAGCGTTCACTACAGGTTGATGTCTTTCTGTTACAGAATAATTTACATCATACAATTGAAAAATGTCTAGCGTAGTGTTAGAAGTTAAAACGGAACTCTATGACGGTGGCAAACATTTGAAAGCTTCAGATGCTGTAGACCAGAACAGCAACAATCTTCAAATCTTATGGATTGACATTAGTACCTTTCGTCCTATTAACCAATTTCTTTTATGCTGCTTAGCAGTGTTCATTTTTTATTTACTGTATGGTTATCTTCAGGTAATCCTGCTAGTATAACCATGTGTTTATTGATGTGGGATGGATTATATCCCATGGCATGTCATTCACTTTATTATCATTGACCATTTTAGGAGCTTCTTTTTACCTTGGAAAGTCTGAAATCTTGTGGATGGTACTTGACTCTGATACAGTTTGGATATTACTCAGTGTTCGGAATAGTAGAAATGAAACTCAGAGACATAAGAGGCCGAAAGTAAGTTGATTTAGTTGCCTTAATTTTGAAATGGAACCCATGGAACCAACCATGATTGGCTCCCCTCTTTTTCTCTCACAGGATTCCTCTCAAAACCTATTGCCTACTTGCCTTTCTTACTTTGGGGACGATGGGATTCTCAAATTCATCGTTGCAGTATCTTAATTATCCTACCCAAGTAAGTATTGTTTTTATAAACAGCTGGTCGGCAAGTATGCAGCTTATTTTTTGCACGCACTATGGACAAAGAAAAGAGTAAATCACAATATACAGTCTTATGTGCTTATATGCACTAATTCAATTCATTGTTCTTCAATTTTTTATCAACAGGTTATTTTTAAATGCTGTAAACTTATACCTGTGATGGTAGGAGGTATTTTGATTCAAAGAAAAGCTTATAGCACCCTCGACTTTTTGGCTGCATTTTGCATGTGTCTTGGTCTGACCCTTTTTACGTTGGCTGACAGTCAAATATCACCAGTATTTAGCTCAATAGGTAAGTCGAAACAGGAGTTTGTTTATCTGTTTCAAAACTATGGCTACAACACAAATTGTTCTAATGGATTGGTCTCCTTTCCTGTTTAGGAGTTTTCATGATATCTTGTGCCTTGCTTTGTGATGCAGTAATTGGAAATGTGCAAGAGAAGTCAATGAAGTCTTTTAAGGCTAGTAATGCTGAAGTCGTATTATACTCTTACTTTATTGGATTTGTCTATCTATTCTTAATCCTTCTTTTAAGTGGGAATTTGACTTCATCTGTTGGGACATGCTCAAAGGTATGCTAAAATTTATGTCTTTTAACTTTTGCTTTAATGCAAAAATAAACTCATAATTTTATTTTACTTCTAGTACCCCACTTTCACATATGGGTTCTCTCTGCTATTTTCATTGACTGGATATTTGGGAATTCAAGTTGTGCTCATATTAGTGAGGACTGGTGGAGCAGTAACAGCCGCAACAGTGACAACTTGCCGCAAGGCTGTTTCAATTGTGATATCATTCATATTTTTTTCAAAGCCGTTCACATTTACGTAAGTACCTTCGTTTTATTTTCCTTATACAACCTCCTTTGAAGAGGCTCTTTTCAGGGGAAGTAACATTATGATAGACATTTCTATTTCTATTCATACACTGTTCACATTTTAAATGTAAAGTATCACCATGTACACTGTTTAATTATTCTATCTTTTTATATTCAGGTATCTATGGTCTGGACTTTTGGTGGTTGTTGGTATTTATGTTAGTGTTTGTAGTAAAAATAAAAACGCTAGTCAAAGTTTGACTGGTGCTCCAAGAAAATTGATTCAATGGGCTCTGAACTGTGTACGGAAACATCCATCCAGAACTCTTCAGAATGTTTAGGTAAATCTATCCAATCCACTGCCCCATCGGAAACCAAGAAGTGCATTGTTAAATGAAGTGTTACTTTGCTGTCATGGCATGCTGACATGGCTGTCATTATGGTACATGATTGAAGTTTGGTTGAAGATTGAAATTAATTCCATACCAATCAGTATTTATTTCTATTGCTGATCCCAAACTGTTATTGTTTTATGAGCTGATGGGTGGCAAAAAAATAAACATGCGTAAATAAATTATCACATTTTTCATGTTTTCAGATTCTTTTTCCTTTTATATTTTTCCAATTCCTGTTATCAAAAGTTTGGACCCGAACTACTATTTCTCACAAAATTACGGTGAAGAAATTGCAGAGAACCAAAATGAAAGCTCTTTCCTCAGATGTTGCTGAGGTCTTGTCAAATGCTGGTCGAATTGTCAAAAGTCTCTTTCGGCTTAAAATTGTCATGAACTTCAATGCCGTGAACTATACCTTCAGAAACGGCCAAATTTCAAATCGAATTTCACGCGGTGTTGTACCGCGCGGGTCTGCAACGTCTAGTGCCAACCTACAATGTGCTTGGCAAGATACCTTTTGTAGAAAAGGGTAATTGCAAACGTCCTTCTTCATTTTTTATAAGTACTAAAGTAATACAAAGATTCCATTTCAGCCCTGATTCTCCTAAAAATAGTTAAAACGAAACGGAAGAAAATTATTAGAAAATGGTTGAAAGCTGCCTGTCTCAAAAGCCACTGTTACCAACAGCTCGTGAAAGGAAAAGGAAACGAAACAGATGACATCCGATTTAGATAGATTCGTTACCTTGTTTGTATACAAATGGCTGGATTACGGTTATCGTGTCACTTGCTCGGGTTCTTTAATTCACCGAACTCACAAGGAGAAGAAAAAGAAATTGTTATATTCTAGCGTGCTTCCTCTATAGTATATACCTAAACTCATATTAGCTTTGGCGTTTTGCCAGAGGAGGCAGGTGACATGAAATCATATGACTGCTGTGCTGACGAACGCCGCTGGCTGCACGTGATGTTATTTACTCAGTCTCAAAAATAGATTAGGACTAGAGCGGCCTGGACAAATATCTGTCATCAAAAATGTTAAAAAGAACCACATTATTAATTTAAATATATTATGGCACTTCTGAATCGCCTCTTTTCATCGAGAAGGAAACAACAACCTCACAAAGGTTATGCTGTTCCGAGCCTTTCTCAGGGGAAGTAAGTTACTACACTATTATTTTTGTAGATGTAAGTGTTGAATGTGTAGCCTGGACTATCATCAAAATACACCTGCAAATATTTATCATTAATGATCCTTTTGGGGATTTGTCCATTGACACTTGTCAATCTACTTTAAATCTGTCAATCTGGTGTCAAAGGCTTATTTTGCCAGCTCTTTAATGTGCATGTATTTGCTTATTTGCTTCATATTTTTTTTTTTGTTTCAGCTCCAAAGTGTTTGAATTTAATAAAGGCCAAGTTAGGGTATTATTGTTCCGAGAATGTGAACGTCGTGGAAGGAAATTATTGTTTGATTCCAAAGCCGTTAAAAAGGTATCTCTACCAAGCCTATTACAATGCAGCAAATTGAGAAAAGGTGTAAAGGCAGAAGAAATAAAGAAGGCAGAAGCTTTTGTAGAAATCACAAATGGCTTTGGTTATCAGGTGAGCAAGGTTACTGCAGTGAGTGAAATTTTATTTGGTTTACGTTATTTAATATATTATGTTCTGTATAGTACACTCGTCCGTCATCAGATGTGAAGCCATTAGGCGAAATGATCTTCGGTTCTGTTGCCATGGCTCTTCGTGGTACAACATTTAAAGTTCATGTTGGCGGAAATCCTCCTGTTCTTATGCTTACTAAAGTTTCAATCTCTCCAGCAAAGAGAGAATGGTGAGGTGTCCCCTTTTATTTTTTCTAGACTGAATTTAAACTGTTTGCCCTTAGCATCACCACAATTTCTGGCTTGTTGCAGTGATAATGTTTTGGAGGACTCTTATGGAAGCTCAATTAATTCTATGAATGAATACCTCTGTGGAGGAAGCAGCAGCTCAGATTTTAAGATAGGTGTGTGTCAGAAATGTGTTGGTTTCGTACTTGTTTTATTGATGCACTTTCACTCACCAGTTTAAGTTTAATCTCCTACTTTTTTAAATAAATTTCAGCTACTTCCACTGGATCTTGTCCTCTAGATGTGCCTCTTCCTAGCAGTTTAACATTAGGGGCATCACAATTTTCATCTAGAAATGATAGAACTGGTCATTATGGTAGCTTGGAAGCAGACAGTGGGTGCTATACAAATAGCGACTGCAGTGCTGCAGGCCTACCACCTAATAGTTCATTTAATGCTGCTTTGGCTAGTCCAGACTCACGGAAAGGTAGTTTCTATTGTATCTTTACAACATGTTTAATGCTTTCCACAGAGGTCTTCTTTAACTTTTCGTTTTTGAATCACATGTAGGCTCTGGTGGAAGCTTATCCAGTTTAAGAAGAAGATGGCTCCGTACGGCTAGTACGTCTTTGGACCTTGATTCCAGTCAGAGCCTAACAAAGACTGATTCAGTAGCTTCGTGTGGCTCACTGCCACCCAGTGGGGATGACAAGCCCCTTCGCCGCACCAAATTGGGAGTTGCATTTGTAATCAGCCTTACCCAGCATCAAAAAGAGTAAGGATTTCAGCAATTACCTGCCATTTTTTCTGTCAATTGATTTGTTTTAAATATTCTGTTTTCCTTCTAGTTCCATGGAGGAGTTTTTGTTAGAACATGCAGCTTTGTTGGATAGTATGGCAGTTCGCCTTCACTCTGCGGTTGAGCGAGCTTATTGTCGAAAAGAACAGTTTGTTTCAATGATGCTGGATGCGAGTAGCGACCTAGAACAAAATGTGGAGGATCTGCTCTTAGGACCAAGGCTGTCTATGCCTATGTGGCTTGGGCTTCTCTCCTCGCCCTCTCAACATTCTTCATTAGCTTCAGGTTTCATGCAAGAGCTATGCCAAATACTTGAGGTTTTTGACACAAAAGACACAAACTTGTAAGTCATCTATCTCTTTTAATTTTGTATTTTCAAACTATATTACCATTTGAGGTCACAAGGGGAATGGAGAGGAGTCCAGATGTGGCATCAAACAATAAACTGGTTATGAAGTACGGAATGATAAATTAATAGTCTTTATGTGCTTTCTTACAGTTTTGTGAGTACACTTCTGACTTCTGTTTTGACACACCATTTAGGCTGGGTTCCTACAGTTACTCCTGGTTCACATTTGTGTCTTCGACCATCTTGTATAGATGGTACCTCTCTACCTTGCAGTGTTAGTATGACTAAGATGCACATCATTGCTTTTCTCTCCAATGATTTCTGTCCATAAATTTTAGCCAGCCTACCCTTTTTATCTTTTGTCTTATGATTTATACCTTTTGTTTCAGTTGTTTGATCTACCTAAAGTCCATCCTTATAACCCTTTATGGGCACAAGCTATGGATTTGTATGGTGCGCTTGGGAACCCTCTCAAAACGTCTCGTACAATAATTATGTCTTTGGCTTCAAATAAGAACCGTATTGAAACAATTGAGAAGATGTTGCGCATTGTTTCATACTTCATCAGATGTGCTGCTATTGAGCGACAAGAACCCAAACTGGAAGAGTTTGATATTCTCTCAAGTATCAGTTCAAGTCCTTCTGCTGCCAGAGTTTCTACTTCTCAGATGTTGTCATCTGATGGCCACACATCTTCCTCATCTATTGTTCATTCAAGGAGAGAAAAGTCCTCCCCTCTTTCCCTAGCTTGTCATCCCTCTACTGCCGTAAATACTTGTGAATTATCAGGTTCTCAACCTAAATCTAAGACTCTGGGTGTTGTGGATATGTCTTGCAAAGGTGAAACCCCTCTGATTGTGGAAGGAAATGGAATACATTTAGACATTTCTCTCAAGAAAACAGCCAATGTGGGACTGAGAAGAACTATGAGTTATTCCTCTAGAATGACAACTTCAGCCTTAGTTGAAAATAAAATCAACAAGGGAAAACATACGCTCAATGCTGTTACAAGTGAAATATCAAGAGAAATAATAACCTCCCAGTGTGTATCTGAAAAGCTATCAAAGTTGCATGAATTTGGCAGCAGCTGTCCCAATCAAAGGGCTTCACAGGATATGTGCACTCCATTTGACAAAGTCATTTTTGTGCTAGGAGAGAATGAAAACTTAATTGGTCTGAAAGGAAAATCAAGGACCGATACTGATGAATTGGACCTTAACATCATAGATGAAAAAGGGAAGATGCATGAACAGCCATTGAGCTTCTCTGGAAGTGAAGTGGAAAGTGGATTTTCTGAATGTGAATCATTTGAGCTTTCACCAGTACGCACTGGTTGTGCCAATCTTATGAATTCTTCTGGCAAAACAACTAATTCTTCTAAGCTCCTCACTTCTAGCCTGGACCCAAGGCTCTACTGTTCAAATAATGAAAGAAACACAAATAATTTTAATACTAGTTCTACACGTCTCTCACATAAAGAAGAAACTTTACCATTCCATGAGGTTAACCCTAGACTTTTAACAATTCAGTCAACATTGATTCCGTCTGAAAAACGAGCAGACTCATTTTCTGTTAGTTCAGCCAACCTAAGGTCTCTTGCCAGATCCTTAAGTGTGAATCTCCCGGTGTGTTTGAAAACAGTGAAGCATGAGCTGTGTGAAAGTGATACATGTATCTCATGCGGTGACCAGATTGCCAAAGCAGAAAGTAAAGAAAATATGCACCCTCTGAGAGACTTGAGACAAGCGTGCGGTAAAAAAAACATGAGGAACCTAAGGAGAGCACACAGTTCATTTTGCGTTCAAAGTCAGAGCAGGAAGTCTTTGAAAAGCAACCCCATATGTCAGAAGTGCAATTTTCACGATGCAAAATCTCGTGTTGACGATTGCTCCTTCACTACAAGAGAAAAATGCAATGGACTTGAAGAAACTCAGAACTCAGATTTGAAGCAGTCAAATGTTGTGGAGCTTCCTCTTCCTGCGAGCCTGGCATGCGGTGAATTTGCAGAAACAGTTTGTGGCTGGGGCATTGCTGGCTCATTATTTGGTGGTGTTTCACCACGTTACGTGCCGGAGAGAGTTCTTCAAGGTTGTGCTCCCCTTGGCCCTGGATGGGAAGTTATTTTAAAAAGAGATCTCTTATTGGATGCACTGCACCCTACATTGGACCCAGGACTAACAGAGGCTGTTGCTATTGTTGCTAACATCGATTCATGGTAATCAATTGAATAAAGCATATTTAATCTTCTAGTTAAGGACAAAATCACTGAATTTGTCTATACTTTTAATTTTATTTCAGGGAAGTACAATTGATATCCAGTCATACTTATGTTGTGGATAGACCAGGTACGCTGGGCATTAGAGTGGGGCTGTCTCAACTTATTGCAAACATGCTTGAGTCTGTGTACCACATGTGGAAGCTACATGCATCTTCTGAGTTGGTAAGCATAAGGCGCTCATGAAAACAACAAAAATAATTTTACTTGAATTCATATTCATGTTTACAATAATTTTTTTAAACATATTGCAGTGCTTATCATTTTTGGAAAGCCGTCTTCAGGAGATTGTGCTACGCAGTCAGGCTTTGTCAGAGCTGCTCCTTACAAGAGAATTTTGTGATATGGATAATTTAACTTCATCTCTCTCTCTTGAACCAAATGATGTGCCCCTTCTGTTATCAGTGGCATCGACACATTCACCTGAAGTGACGCAGAGATATGGCTTGAGCTTTAGATGACATTTTTCCTTCTCAGTAAACCCATGTTGTCAAATTCTAAGTGCACTTAATGGGAGAATCCTAAATCTGGATGTTTAAACAACTCTAAAGTTGCGGAAGAAATAATAATACAGTAATAATAATGTAGGTTTAGTATGACTTTTATGCTGAAGTTTTGGTAATATGTCACGAGCATGTTTTGTCTCAACTGTGTTATTTATGGCTTGTGATTTTTCTTAAGTAATGATTTTGAGATACAGACTGACATCTTTGACTTTGATATACCATCATTATCGACTAAGCAATAAGTTTCAGAAAATCTTAATATCAGGGTTTGTATTATTTATAATTAATCTAGTTTGATGAATATCGAAATGACTTAAATCAATAAAACCTGTGCATTCATTGTTCATCAGTGCTCACTGTTTTCCACTTTGTTAGAAAATGAGAAAACAACATTCCTACTTCAAAATGTAGACACCATCAGCATTAGAGCTTTCTTTTATTTACTTTTCTAATGATGCAATATATTAGAGGTATTCCCAAATCATAGATACTGGTAAAAGTAGATTGTTTCTTTTGGATGAGTGTACCCTATCAACACATAGCAATAATCAGTTTAAAATATGTGACCTATTTCTCTTTTTGTGCAACTTTTTTGTAGATTCCTGTCATTCCTGAACTTTTTTTGTTACACATGGCATGTTGTTCAAAGATAATCAAGACCTACATTTCAAATTTTTATTTAGATTAGCCAGTCTGCTCATAGGTTCTCTGTTGGTACCAGTATTTCAATGTATTCAATTTATCTTTAAATAACTCTTTGAAACATGTAACAATGTAGTTAATTCGCTCTTATAGATCAAGCAATATTTGCTTTTACGTTCTGGTAGAGTGGTGTGTGTTTGTGTTCTTTTGGATATGAATATGACTCCTGTTCAAAATTAAGATAAGACTTTGTAGAAGAGGAACATTTTTTCCCCTTCCTCTTTTACTTTTAGTGCTTGTTGTCTGACTGTTTTTGTTTTTATTAATTTATTCTATTTATTTTTTATCATTGGTCAAATGGTATTGCTTTGTTTCTGCCTCTTTGTTAAAACTTAAAACATACATTGTTTAAATTGTGTACAGCCACAATGATCTCCTGTAAAACAAATGAACTACACAGTATTTTTTTCTTATTTTGAGCATCTCTCTTGATGAAGCTGATGGGGAACATGAAATTGGTTTGAGGATAAATTTGACATTCATGTTCTCCAAAGTACTTTAGATTTCATTTTGTAACTGTAAGGGACCAATGCCCAATGTTTGCATGAAGAATGTTCAATTCTTTCTTTTTCTCCTTTTACTTATTTGGTGTGAATCAAGAGAATTATAAGTTCCTAATTTGACCAAATTTGGTCTGTTTTCTCTTGTATTATTTTATTTGTCTGTTGATCGACACTTGCTGTTTTCAATAAACTTTGTTTTGTTAGCATTCTGAGCAATGATTAATTGTTCTTTTCCCTGCTACAATCAATCTCAAAGGTTCAACTAAAGGTGATCCCACAATGGGTCGGTCGGTCCGAGCCTGTAAAGAGGCCGGGTTCGACTCCCCAGTGAGGTAACACTTTCCTCGGTTAACTTCTCCAGCCTAGAGCAGAAGTCTAAGTTTGGGCGCATGACCTCTGTGTTTTCTAGTGGGTCAGGGCGCAAAGGCAGTGGCCTCCTCGATTGAGGACCTGGATTCGCGTCCCCGGGGAGTTATTATTTTCCTCAGGCCTCAGTTTGGGCGGACCGAGTGTCAGTTGTCAGGAGCCAGCGGCGGGAACTCCGTTGCATCTTAGAGGGGAAATGCGAGCCCTTTTAGCCCCTAGAGCCGCGCCACCAAGGTAGGCCACCCAATTGACACGCTGGGGTGGGTGGGTGGTAGCCAGTAGCCGACGACGCCAGCCCACTGAGCCACCGATTGAGTCATATTTGTCGAAACTCAGAGTGATGGTACCGCTACCGCATTGAAGCAGTCAACAGAGGAAAATGTTCCTGAACCTGCGTGAACCGGCGTGGAAGGGTGGGGAGCCACCGGATGGCGATTTTCGGTTTGACCGTCCGACCTGCTTCAGTTGCCAGTGTGAGTGCACTTGGGTTCTGCATGGAGTGTGCTGGTGGTCTTAGTTTAAAAGGCTGACTACTTGCTTGTGGATTCAGTTGCTGAAATTCGGTGCGGAAGCTGTGAGACAGCCCAATCAAATAAGACTAGAAGTGACAATTTCAACATCTTTAATTCAGGTGCCCAGCTAAGGTATACATGGAAACTTGATATCTTTAGTACTTCCACAAGTGCACTTGGCACCATATACATAAGAAGCAAATAAACTTAACAATTAACAGACTAGAAAACAACAATCAATTTCAAGAGCAAGGAATATATCAAATCAATGGTGGGTACAAAAGTAAGAAAAGTAGCCTCCGAAAGACAAAATAACATTGAACAATTGATCTCAAGATATCACAAGTACATTATAATTAGATTCGTACAACTTGAGCACATATACTCTTGGCTATAGACCTGTCTTCTTCGAGAACAGGTTTAATACTCAGTCTGGCAAATGTACCACCTGCTGATCCCTTAGCAAGTCTATCTGGATTAACAACAAAGGAACCATTGATGTTCTGCAAAGATAAAAAAATGTATGAAGTGGTTGAGAAAAATAGATGAAGTTTGCATAAAATTTTTAATGATAAAATGAAATTACACACCTTGAGGAAATATCTCAGGTCAGATGGTAAAACAAGAACATGTGGGGTGACTGGAAGGTGAGTGTGATCATCCCACATTTCCATATCCACATTGAAATCTTCTGGGGGAGGATAAAGAGGGTACATGGACCGTTGGTTGATCAGATGAGAAACACAACGACCTAAACGATCCGGAGCTTGGGGTGGACTGCAAAGATGTGCAAAAATAAAGACAGTTTAAAAATTATGTACGTAATAACAGGACGCTACCTATAATGTTTTCAACATGAGGACTTATAACATACTTGACAACTTCTTCTCTGGTGATGTGTTTCAGAACATCAGTGGCTGTGATTCCAAACACTATTCCATTAATATCAAGTAACGCTGGGTCTGGCAATAGATGAAGGCGGGGATATGATTTTCGCAGGACATAAGGAGGAGTAGGGTACACAGGTTGGTGATGAACATCACGAGAAGATGGAACTAAAATTACTTCAGTATGGCATCTGGAACAAGCACACAATTTCCCTTAGAAAATGATAAATGAGTGAGCTTTCATTTCAAAGTCGATATGAAGTACAAACACTTACCCTGCAAGGGTACGCATCAGAGTATCAACAATATTCTCAAATATTTCAGTGAAGGACTGAGCTAGAAGGCCTGCAGTGACTTGAGGATGCAATGCATCAAGAAATGGTCCAATGAGAATTAAAATGTGAGGCTGGTGTTGTTGAACATACATTATAAGGTCCTCAAGAGGTTGATAAGTCATAGTGTCGCTTTGAGTGAATGGTCCACTTGCGACAACAACATGAAGAGGCCCTGAAATTTATGAAAGGGATATTGAGAATACTAGACACTCTTCTAGCACAAATTAATTATATTTTAAAAATTTCTTTTATGATTTTAGATAGATAACTTAATTACCATTTGCTGTCGATAATCTTAAAGGAGTGGATGGCAGAGGAAGAGCAGCATCACAGTAGACTTTTTCAGCCACAAGCACTTCACCAGTGGGGTTTGTTCCCTCAACTGCAACCACCTGACCCGGAAACAGTGCGTATGACGGAACAGATGCTAACTTAAGGGGAACACTTATGCCAAAGCTTGGATGTCCTCGTGCACCTTCCAGAAGAACTGCAGTATGGTTGAGCTTACCATTAGCATCACAACAAACATGCCCAATACCAACAAATCTTTCCTGCAATAGAGAAAAAAATAATTGTCAATGTTACTACTTGAAAAGAAATTAAAGCCGTCAAGCAGAAAATGGGAGGGGGGGACAGAGAGAGAGAAGGTCTTTTCTTGTAAGTGTGATGATTCCTTACCGGGTGAAGTTTTTTCAAATGATCAGGTTCATCCAGATTGTGTCTAAGACATATTTCTTTTCCAAGCCATTCGACCACATCATTCAAAACACAAGCTTTTGTAGTGAGCCTCTCGTACAAATATCTTACATCGGTGGATAGTGGTGCTTGGCCATGACCAGAGAAGTTGCATACTTTTAGATCTGGAATAGAACTTCTTGCTGCCCAAGTGGCTCCAGGTGGTAAGGAACCCCATTCAGCAACTGTTTGACCTGCATTAGTCCGTGTACTGTAATTACTTGATGGAGTTGATCTAAGAAAGAAAAAACACAATATGATTTTAAAAGAGAAATTCACAGCAAAACTGTGAAAGATTTATTCCTGGCAACAGAAAGAGTTAATACTTACACAGTAGGTGAGAAGCTAGCAGGTGAAAAAGTCATGCGTGGACTTCTTCCAGCGGTTGTTTGACGCTTAACGCCATAGTCCTCAGGGGTATGACATTCGGCACTTCTCTTCTCAACACGGTTGCGCTGAAACAGAAGCAAAAAGAAGGTAAAAACACAGGCTGTTTTAAGCAAACAAAATAGAAAAAAGTGATAATGTTGAGTGCCTGAAGGTCCCACGAAGAGAGTACTCTAGGCAGTAGACGAGTATGGATCTAGTCATGATCAAATATACATGCACTAGACCCAAACCCGCCCACCTCCAAAAGAATTGATGATGGTGGTTGAACTTGAGCTTTGACAATCACAGCTACAATTGAGGACAAATATCAATGAGTGTGGATCTAGTCACCAAATCAAATACAAAGTGCACAAGATCCAAACCCATTGACAGCTGTCACATGAACCTGCAATAAGTTTAAAACAATAAACTGGAGAGCAAACCACCATCAAATCACTACCACAGTACAGGGGCATGCACAAATTGTTTTAATGAACAACCCAGATTTCAACTACATACTTCCCAATACACCACACATAAAAGAAACAATTAGAGACATATTTGATGGGGTAACAAGGGACAGTCTTCACTTGAAATTTCGTCAATACGGACGCTGTTCAGTCCCGACCGGGGGTAAGACAAATGCCATCGCCGCCCCATCTGTTGCACCTCGTCATGACTGGACCAAGGAGTAGGGTTCTAAAAAAACGTGAAAATTATTTTTGATGAAAAAAACCATGGAAAAAAACGGTTTTTTTCCGAAAAAAACGGAAAAATATATTTTGATTTGAAAATTGTTTGAATCGGTGGCGGGAGTAGATAAGACTCAAATGGTTGCAGAAACAGAGCTCCTGTCGGGAAATAATTAAATTTTACTTGAATTGCACTTAAAATGAGAAAAAAGCTGTTATTTAATTGTTTTGCTTTTCTTAATCAGTAGAAGACTTATTGAGAGCGATTCTATCGCTTATTCCTCATGCTTCCATGCCTTTTTCAAAGTGGGTCCCTTGCTCCAATGCTTTATACCTTTCTATTCGAGTCGATTGGAAACCTCAAATGCTTCAATTTACGTCCATTTTTATATTTTTCATATTTTTCGAAAAGTAAAGCGATGAAAAGAAACCGAAAAAAACCGTTTTTTTCGCAATTTTTCCAAATATTTTTCACGCTTTTAGAACCCTACCAAGGAGGGGCCGGGGAGAGGGGGAGAAGTTTGACTTGAGCGCGCAACAAGACAGGTGTCAGTTCAGCAGCTGACTGCCAGTCGCACGGCGGCCACCTTCAACGTCACGAGCTCACGACGAGCAGAGCTTCGGCAGTCAAGCCGCAGCCGCCATGCCTGCCATAGGGCAGGCTCACATCTCGACAAGCGACGATCATCTGGGGATCAAAACGAGCGGGAACATTCAAGTAGTGTTCTCGTAATTAAGCATCGGGATGATTATTTCGTGACTTAAATGGCGTTTTGTTGCTCAGAGGGAATACTAACGTTCGCAAGCACGCGTGCAAGCTGCCTAGGAGCGTCCAAATTGCTTCAAAACAATTTCCTAATGAAATGGGCCCGCAGTAGCAGCGTCCGCACCAAGGCGCCCATAACCCCAACCACATCGCTTTTTAGTTTTTTCATGCAAATATGATTTCACGCTGAATACGACCAAGGAGGGCCGGAGAGGGGAGAAGTTTGACTTGAGCGCGCAACAAGAACAGGTGTCAGTTCAGCAGCTGACTGCCAGTCGCACGGCGGCCACCTTCAACGTCACGAGCTCACGACGAGCAGAGCTTCGGCAGTCAAGCCGCAGCCGCCATGCCCGCCATGCCACACAGCGCGGGCCGGGGGGAAAGAAGGGAGGGGAAGGGGGTACAGCTCAACATGCTCGGCATGGCACGCCTGGGCACGGACCCGGCCACACAAAAGAAAGAATGCCCCCTCCCCAGCGCCGCCCGGAGGAGACCTTCCTTCTTCTCGGCGGCGTCGGCCTCTGCCACTCCAAGATCAAGACCCACCCCAAGCCAAGCCACGCCGCCCAGGGCCTAGATGCCAGCGCCCAAGCGGCAACGGACAGAACGCCGACGTCCGCTCCAGGTCCCTCGAAGAAGGGCCCCGGCCACTCAGTACACCCACCCCTTGCTCACGCTGTCCGCTGTCCGAGGCGAAGACTAGGCGGGCTCCTCGCCGGCACGGCGCCAGCACGTGACGCGGACGCAGCCGACGCCAGGCCATGGGCCAGGCCGGCCGCGGGCCGCGACGCCAAGCCGCTCGACCTGCAGGCAACAGGTCGGCGCCGCAGCCGCACTGCCATCACTACACCGTGGCTGCTGTAACCCACACACACGCAGCGACGCCCAGCTTCCCGTCAGAGTCGGCACAGTCACCATGACGCGGGAGAACTACTACAACCACGAAACGTAGCCTAGCACACACAACAGGGCCCCGGACGGAACGGACAGCCCGGCACTTCCATGGAAACTGAGTGACTGACTGAAGCCGAAGCAAGCCAAGCCAAAGCCAAGCCGGCCGGTCGGTCGCCCCGCCCGGCCTGGAACGCTCGAAAAAATAAAGAAAGATGAAACGACTGTGCGCGGCTCGGCTCCGTCGGGCCACGCGGCACACCTCACTTGCTCGGCTCGGCATCGGCAGAGCAGAGTGCGCTGCTCGACACGGTTCGGCTGTTCGGCTCGCCGGTCGAGTCGCCACGGCCGCGAAGCTCGCCGCTAGGCGGCTATGGTCGGAGCGAGCTAACTTGCACCACGACAACCAATGACTCCAGAAAAGAGAGGCGAGATCAGGTTACCTGGAAGCAAGTGCCTGCTGGCTGCCTGATCCGTTCTGGCGCGCCATGTCAAGCGACTTTGGCCTTGAGATTCTGAGAGCATAGAGATACGTATAGCCAGACGGACGGTGCACGGACAAACGGGAAGAGAGCAGTCTGCACTTCGTCGTGTTTGCCGGTACCAAACCAGCTCACCAAACTATATCAAGTTTCAGTTCCATATCGATTTGCTGGGACTGCCACAACACATTTAAGCCCAACAGGTGAAAAATTCAACCCGGAAACAAACTGCACAATTCTAATGAAGGAAATGCAGATAAGTCATGATGAGTGAGTACATTACAAAACAATGAAAGGGCTCCACAATTGCACAAAAGGGAAATAAGAAAGCTAACTTGAGAACAGAAAATGGACAAATGAATGAATGCACTTGCAAACTTAAAGGATGGAATAAAATCGGACCCACAGTATTATCAATAAGGGAATTCCACTTCCCCCACCTGCACTTGATAAGGATGCAAAGGATGTAAAATTAGATTCTGCCAAAGTCAACAGAACACAAAGGTGGATGTCTTGAGACTGGCATTACATGCTTTAACTCTTACTGAACATGACAGACATATTTTCACAAATTCTAGTGTCTAAGAAAAGTAAGAGTTGTATTCATGGAGAAGAGGGCGAGGAGAGCTTGAAGGGAAGACAGACCCATCAAAATTCTGACATGTCGGCAGTGCCACCAAATGCTAAGCACACTAAAAATAGATTCAACAGTTGAGGCTCATTTTCAGACCAACCATGCCATTTCAGAATAATAATAAAAGTAATAATAAATAGTATTTACCTTTGGAGTGGTACAGTAGGCACTTAGAATGTTGTCCTCCCTGAATGATTGATTTAAGGATTCTACAAATCTAACAATTCAGAAAATAAAACCCAAAGAAACACTAAATTAAATAAAATGTAGCATGTATTCAAATGTCCCACTTTGAAAGATTTCCAATTACAGTAAGAGAAAGGAAGTGTGTTGCACGAGAATAAAAATGATAATAAAACTGAAGTTTTAAGTACACAAAGGATACATTATGGGATCTTTGCTGGCATTATATACAACAACACTACTTTTCGCAGTTTGCTTGGAAGGCCCTTTAGGAGTAGGGACATCACGGGAAGATCGTTTGGCAAATTCCTTGCGCTCCATCTGGCCCAAAGCTTCAAGCGTCACTTCATGATGGTTGTTGGATACACTGAAGGCCATCCACGTCTCCACGACTTCTTGTGCATCCACTCCATATTGAGCACAAATGTCGAGACCTTCGGCAAGTAACAACAAATTACAGGATCTTAGAGTGGTAAGGAAAGTCGAAAATACAAGACGAAAACAAGAAATTAATTTTAGAGTGAGGCAAGAGAAGAATGCAACTGCAGTGCAACTGATAGAAATCTCAACAAAGGGGACCAGAAACAAATGTTTCACTAAAAGCCGGTTGAGACAGATGTAGGTTATGTTCAAAGTAGAACTTGATTTTAATCAAAGTGGGGGCAAGCTCACTCACTGGCGGTTGTGATAATTTGTTACTCAAACTCAGAAAAAACACGGCATTCATCGGAAACAATGAGATAAGGAAGGAAAAGCAGCCCTCCTGGGCGCAATCCTCGCTTTCCTTCCGTGATACGAAGGCCTGATACGAAACTAACAGAATTGCGTGAACGGTGATGTAACGGACTTACATTTATCTAGGACGGCGGGGGTGGTGTCCACGCCATATTCTTCGAACCCGTCCGATAAACTCGCTCGAATGTCCATGGTTTTCTTCTGACTTTCAGGAGACAGCTCTTTGGAGACAACAGATGAGACGTGTGTACAGTACAGAGACTGAAAAGCGCGGGAAACCGCGCGGGAGCGTTCGTTGACGTTGAGCACGCGCCCGCGCAGATGGCGCTCCGAGCGGAATAAACAAAGAAGGCGACTTCCGCTTCCGCGTGTTTCAAAGGTTCGTCTCGTCATGTGTGCCCAGTGTATGCCCTGCTCCGTGCTTTGACACGGGACCGCAGAACGTGTGTCCTCTGGTTGTTTTGGATCAATAGAGTGGGTAAGCGGTAGAATTTTGCGGTGAATGAAACAAGAAAAAACACACAGGACAGTAAAGACTTTATTCAGGAAATCACCAGAGCTATCTATCCACATCGGACTGACACATACGGACATGAAAGGAGAATGCAGCTCATCTACTAACACATTCATCAAAACGCACACATTCATGCTTGTACAGACAAACCCGCACACATACCCATACACAGCCAAATCCTTCCACATAGACATACTCATAGACATACTCACACTCATACTATGCCTCACGCAATCAAAGAGGAAAATAACACATTTACCCAGCACACCAAATTTGGTGTCACAGCCACGTTCCTTTACTATACAGCATACGTGAAGCAAGCCACTAAGGGGCTCTTCGAAAATAGACTTGTATACAAGAATTAATTTGTTCTACATAGACCTTGATTTGTACAAATATTGGCTCTGTTTTATTCCATACCGCTTTCACTTAAGAAATACGGAACAAGTCAATTTTAATATTTAAAGAGAGGAAATTATCACTATATATCTGAATTTTGAGCCACTGCTGAGGTTTCTACCGAGGAGAAGCAAGACACTCACGCTTGTTACAATTTGAGATTTCTTAGACACTAAAACTATTGATAATTACATGTTGCATTTGGCCTCCTTCAGACATAATCTGTAAAATACAACACCTCATCAACAGAATATCTACACACAATCAGAAGTGATTAAAAATATGCTATTCTATTGATTTTTTTTGGTCTTCACAGTACTGTGAAGCTGGTACACATGACACACAATAATGGTTTGGGGAAATTACTTCGAAAGAAAATACATAAAGAAAAGAAAATACAAGAAAAAATCTCTTCTAGTCTGATGTACTTGGGCTAGCATAATTTTAATAGTTTCCAGTTGCCACACGCACACTTTACATCAAAAATTCTGATATGAGAAAAGAAGGGCAGGGAACCAGCAGGTTTCTGTCAAGCCCAGATATCTTAGGAAAAAGTAATTAAAAAATAAATGTATGAAATGGAACTTCGAATCAATTCTACTTTTTTCTATTTTAAAAAAGTTAACAGAAAATTCCCTGAACATCCAAAACTGACTTTGGGAAAATCCTTTGTAACATAAACATGAACAGCAGAGTACACACACAGAATCAAAAGACACCAATCAAAAGAGAATAACACCAAAACGTGCCAATCTAGAATTCTAAATGACAGAATACACAGGAGTTCTTTGACATAATATCAGTGTGGATAGAGGATAGAGAGAGATGTATTTGAAAATTGAAAGAATTTCTCTTCCAGAAAAGACAAGAGCTGATACAGTGAAAAGTAGAAAGACACCACATAGTAGTAATAATAATATGAAGAAAATCGTTTTTTCTTTGACATTCCGTACCGGAAATGTTTTCCCAAATCCCAAAAAGACATTCAAATGCTCATCAAACAATTTCCCGTGTGTCCAGCACACTCAGTACTCATGAATTTCTTGACTTGTCCTGTTCCTTCCCAACAACACTTCAAGAGAGCCCATAGTACAAACATTATTACTCACTCCTGGTAATAATAAATAAATTATATGACTACATCACCGACCAAGCCAACGTATCACAGCCCATCGCAACATTTCTCTGCTTTAACAGTACCGGGGCCCCTCGCGGCCCCTCCAGTACTAAATACATCACGGCGCAACCCCTGGAGATCGCCTGGCGTGTCTCGTACAGTGTGACACCGCAACAGGCGTTACCGCAAGACCGCGGCCCGGCCGTGGGCGCATGACGGCGTGGGGCGGGGCGGGGCGAGGCGGGGCGGGGCGGGGAGGGGTGAGGCGGGGCTCGGTGAGGCGGGGCGGGAGCGCGCCACGACGGCGCAGCGCGTAGCACTGCAAGTTCATCTGAGTTGGCGCTGCCGCCCTGCCGGCCCCCTTTGGGCCCCTCCGTGCTGCCCCTCCCCCCGCCAAGGGAATGACTAGAGCCCCGGCACGCGACGCCACGGGCCACGGCACCGGGCCTGGCGGCAGCAGCGGCAGGCATCAGCTGCATCAGCTGGCTGGGCAGTGTTCCTACAGGAACTGCTGCGCCCGCCTGCTGGCGTCGAGCCTGCTGCCGTACTGCTTGCGGCCCATGGGGTTGCGCGGCACCTGCTATTCGTCCAGCACGGTGGTGGCGATGCCGGTCGCCAGGTTGTCCTCGCTGTTGCCGCCCGGAGTCTGCGGGTAGTAGACGCAGGAGCCGGCGGGGGCCGCTCGGGTGGGACCATTGGCGCCGCAGCCCCCGGCGACGCCGCGGCTGCCGTTGCGGACCAGGGCGGTGTTGCAGCGGTTCAGGGTCTGCATCTGGATGTTGGAGCGCACGGAGTAGGAGCGGCCGTCGCCGTTGGAGACCACGCTGTCGCACTCGGGGCTGTCCCTGCCGTTGGCGGGGCTGCCGCACAGCAGCTTTCCTTGCGGGCAGAACAGCTTGAGGAACAGACGCTTGAACTTCTCCCCGTAGATGACGTAGATGACGAAGTTGACCGAAGAGTTAATGGTGACCAGCAGGTTGGATGTCTTGATGAGTGGGTCCAGGATCACGCCGTTGAAGGCCTCCATGACGTTAGCCACGAGAGCGAGGATGTTGCACATGAAGAAGACCATGACGACGCACAGCAGCATGGTGGCGAGCCCGATTTCCTTCTTCTGCAGTCGGGACAGCCGCTGGCGCTCCGCGTTCGCCCGACGGATCTGCAACACAGAGACGTCATCGTGAAAAGGGGCGACTTGGTCCGCTGCGCCTCGATGCGCCTCGATGCACCTGGCACGGTTTCTCATCTGCGATGGGGGGCTCATCTCATGGGGCCGGCCGCACACAGGGCCGCATAGGAACATGTTTGCACCGCCATGCAGGCGGAGAGCCGTTCGGGGCCAGCAGCCTTTGATGTGCACGAGCGTGCACGCGGGACAGCGTGCCCGGTATGGGCATGGACTATGGACGGCGCAACAAAGATCCTTTTGAAGCCGCCCCCGGCGCAGCGCGGCGCAGCGCAGCCCAGCGCAGAAAGCGCCTTTGAAAAGAGTTGGCCTTCCCGTGTCATCTCCTCGACCCCCTCGGAGCGAAGGCGGCGACGCAGAGGCCAACCGGCAGAGGCGAGGCGCCCTCCAATCAGGCGCCGGGATATTGCCTACTTCTCGCCAGCCTTTGTGCGCCGATGGCGGCCGATGACGGCCGATAGCCAACCTTCCACTCTGCTTGTTCGCGAAAGATGTCCACGGTGGCCCTCTTCACACACCCCACGTCTACCCACGTCACTTTCGACGACGCGACGCCCACGGCCTTGCCCACGGCCTTGCCCACGGCCTTGCCCACGGCCTTGCCCACGGCGGGCCGCCTTCGGTGCTGTCTTATAGGGCGCGCCTGCCTGCAGGGTCCAGGATGGTCCAATGGTCCAGGACAGGGACCGACAGGGACAGGGAAATCAATCCGACAGCACGGAACAGCGAAGGGAGGGGCTGTCGTCAGAGGAGGAGCATCGAGTCCCCGCCAGACTTGCAGCTCCAGGGCGAGGCAGAGAGAAACATCTGCGGCAGCGCCAAGGCACCGCCAAGACAGCGCCCACCCCACCGCACCCCACCTCGACTCACCTGGCGGTAGATGGCGGCGTTGAGCACGGCCAGCATGGTGAAGGGCACCATGTAGATGAAGACCAGGTACATGCCGTTGATGTACAAGTTGATGTACAGTGAGTTTTGGCGCAGCGTCGTGGGCCTCGCGAAGTACGCCTGCTTTTTGGTCTTCTTGTCCAACGCCATCTCGCAGCAGTGCACCTGGAGGCACGACAGAGAGGCAGGCGGTCAGTCCCGCAGTCCGGGCCGGAAGGCAAACAGGGAGGGAGAGGGGGGGGGAGGGAGGGCTCCAAATCAACGACGTCAATCAGTCACGCGCTGTGTCAGGGAGACTCAAGGCGCGAGAAAAATTGCGGAACAGAGAGGCGAAAAAGAGAAAGAAGGGAACGAGCGGCAAATTACGAGTGACGGCGGGGCGGCGCAGAGGGAGGGGCGCCCTTTCGCCCTTTGCTCGGGCAGGGCGCGCGGTGGCCGCTGTGCGAGGAAGGCATTTTTCACTCGACGAGTAATGTGATGATCCCCCAGCGTTTGATGAATGACTACACACCTCCTCCTGAAGGGCTGAAGGGAATAGGGCCGGCTCCGCCTAGGCTCCGCCGCGCCAGCAGCGCGCGAGCCGCGAGCTCAGCAGACTGAGATGGCTATAGGAAAGTACAGTCCACCTGGCGGGGCCTGGCGGACTGGTCGGTCGGGATTTGTATGCGCACTCTGCCGGGTGGATGGGATGGAATGGGATTACAGTACTCGCCTCGAAGAACCGGGAAGCGTTGTAGAGCACAGAGAAGACGATGGTCAGCAGCACGTAGATCCGCGCACGGCCGTAGGTGCAGTAGGACCTCGCCTGGTGGACAAAAAGCAGGCCCTCGTTAGCGCAAAGACACAGTCGGACAACAAAACTGTGGCACAGATTACCAAGTTACCTGGAGCGGGTGGCACACCGCCACGAACCTCTCGAAGGTGACGGTGACGGTGAGGTACACGGAAATGGTCTGCGCGATCAGGGAGATGGGGTAGACCACGGGGGCGATGTGCGGGTACACCTGGAGGCATTAGGGAACAATTGTCATTGGCATTACATTGAGACGACAAAAGAAATGGGTGGTCCCGGTCGTGGGTAAGGCAGTGGATACTTTACATAGTACTGGTACGTGTAGAGGTAGCCGGTGTAGGCGTGGATGGCGGGGAGGCCGAACAGCAGGATGGACGTGACGATGAGCACGGTGTCGCATCTCGCCAGGCCGATCAGGATGTAGTTGATGCTGGAGCGCATTTGGGGCCGCGACAGGATGATCATGGAGACGATGTTGCCGAGGATGCCCAGCAGCCCCACGACGGTGAGTATGATGCCCTCCGCGATGAACTGGAACAGCACCTCCAACTGGCGGGTGGCGTCGGCCTCGCTGACGCGCTGCGTCACGTTGGCCACCTCGGGCAGCTCGGTGACCGAGGTGACCGAGGTGATGTCCATGCTGGGCTGGGTTGACATCGTTGACATGCTCATAGCGCCTGCTGGCCAGCACCACGTCCTACACGACCTACGGACAGCACGGCCAGCAGCACGGCCAGATCGCCGCCGCCTCCCGCCCAGTCCCGGCCAAGGCCCCGGCCTCGGCACCGGCGCGGCCTGCCGGGCGCCCGCCTCATAGCCTCCACCTGCAACAGGAGAAGCAACAGACAGTCAGGCAGGAGCATCGGCTTGGACCGCCCCTCACTCCCCTCGGTAGGGTCGACGTCGGACATGCCGGCTGACAATCACTGACAGTGCGGTTGGGAGGCAAGCCAAAAGACAATGCCGGGGTATAGTCTGTATTATCCAGGGATATTCCGGCAGTAATCCAGGGGTAATCCGTACTCCGGCCGACAGCGAATCTACGAGCCCATCCCCCGTGTTGCGCACCGCGCGGCCTCGCTGGCGGCGGCGTGTGGAGGGCGTGGACGGGGTGACGGACGACGGACGGCGTGCAGGGGGTACGACAGGGGTACGACGCGCGCTCTCGTCGCAGTGCGGAAGCCCGTCCGCGACAGCCTGCCCGCGGCAGCCCCTGTGGCGCCTTGCATGCAATCTGAATGGCAATGCAATGATGGCGGTGGGGGGGGGGGGAGGAGGAGGCTGTGTCGCGGTGCCGCGCCGCTCGTGCGACACGGCAATCATAGGGAGCGTCGCCTGGCGCCGCCGCAGTCGGCCACACACAGGCCGCTCTAGACGCTCTTTCCACGGACGGCGCGAAGGGCAGTTCACGGGGCGGGAACCAGGTGAAACTAGGTGTTCCATCCTAGTTCCAGGGACACGGGAGCTCAGAAACGGGCGGCAATGGCATCATATCAACACATGATCTATAATCAGTGAAGTACTTGTGGTTAATCACTTGAATGAACCACAAATTAAGTGCGCCTTGAGTTCGCAGTCCGTCCAAGCGATCAGCAGCGATTTTGTCGCTTCTCCTCTCTCGCACTCAAAGGGCGGCCCACAAAGGTGTGAGAGAGACAGCGTGCTGAAGCCAGCCCTCAACCTAGTTACATCGTCAACTCCGATTTAGAGGTGCTTTTTGTAGGGAGGTACCGGCGGCGGCGCGACACTGCCCGTGGGTGGGGCCACGCCATGGCCACGCCAAGGCAGCCCCCAGCGAGAATCAGATTGGGGACACTTGCTGCACCATGTAGCACTGCACGGCGAGAGAGGGAGAGGGAGAAAGATGGCGCCAGGGCGATTTTTCCGACATTTCCCGATGCAGACGCCTCACGACGCGCCCCGCGAGACCTCGCGCCGCCCCGAAGATGGTGCTCCATCCACGCCATCGACTTATCGACATGACTCTCGATTTTTCGATACACCCCGCGAGGCCTCGCGCCGCCCCGAAGATGGTGCTCCATCCACGCCATCGACTTATCGACATGACTCTCGATTTTTCGATACACCCCGCGAGGCCCGCGCGCCCCTCGGTCCCAAGCCACGTGCAGGGGCGGTGTTGAGGCATTGTGTGGGAAGTTGGCTGTGGCGGCGCGGAGCGAAAAAAAAGCCCGTGCCACATTGGTGCAAAAAGGCGTGGTTGCGCGGCGCTGTTGGGTTGGCGTCGCTGCGTCGCTCGGCCATGGCACAGTGGGCCAGAAGACCGGTGGAGGCGGCCAAAACTCTAGAAGCGTTTTGTGCTCCAGAGTCGCTGAATAGGACTCGAACCGAGCGTGTGACCCCACCAATGGATTCATCGTTCGGAGCGCAATTCATTGGTGGGGTCGCACGTTCGATTCGAGTCCTGTTTAGCGACTCTGGAGCTCAAAACGCGTCCAGAGTTTTGGCCACCTCCACCGGTCTTCTGACCCACTGTGCATGGCCGCCGCTTGCCAAGAAGTGGCGGGAAAAAGCAAACGCAGCATCGCATTCCGCGCGGGGCGGCCCGGCCGTGCCCCGCCACGCCGCCACGCCCCGCCACGGCCGCCACCGCGCACCCAGACGGCAAATAAATAACGCCGGAATCTGTGGAAAAGTTAAAAAATAGAAAGAGTTTTTTGGTGGGGTTTGGAGGGAAAGGACCTTTAAAAGGCTTGACATGAGCAGCGCGGATATCGCGCTAAGGTCGGCTAAGGCTGCATGTGTGAGAGGAGAGGGCACGCTGCCGCGTCTTCAGTTTCGGTTTGCGACGACGATGCGGGAGGGACTGTAGGCAGGAGAGACGCAGCGCTGCACTGCACATCGTCTTTGGTCCTTTCCCCCCCCCCCTCCCAATCCCCTGCCTCACCAGCTGCCCTATATACTGTAAAACCTGAGCCTCAGCTCAACGCGGCGTCAACGCGAGACTGCAAAAACAGCCTCCTTTTCACACACGGACAAATACACGCTACCATACGCACACACGCATACACGCACACACGCACACACGCGCAATGATCTGGCGGCTGAAAGAATGCGGACACATGTGGGACACGTCCATTCGTTCGGCGTGTGCGCGTTTTGTGCAAGTGGGCGCGGGGAAGTGCGCGCGCGCAGGTTGCGTGTCGGCGTGTGAGCGCTCGCTCGCGCGCGTATGTGTGTGTGTGTCGGTGTGAGCGGGCGCACGTGTGTGGGTGTGACGCTATCAAAACAAAAGACTATCGCCTGTGGCGTGCGGCGTTGAAATGTGCAGAAAATGTAGAGCAGTGCGTTGGCGGAGGGATGCGGGTTTGTGTTGGTTTTATCCGCCGAGGCGGGGTGAGGCTGCCTCCCAGCGTGGCGCGCTCCCCACTGGCCAGGGTCGGGGCGACAAACAGGCTGATCTGGGCAGTGGTGGCCGGCCACCTCAAGCAGACGACGCGGATGGCGAGGACTGCCAATCAGACGACATCGGCGAGCCCACCACGACGCGACCACAAAGGACGCCAAGGACCTGCAAGGCTCAGTCGGAGCGCGACGGGCCGGGCCACGGGCCGCGGGCCGCCAGTGGCCGGGACAGGGGCCGAGACACTGGCCGGGACAGTTGTTAATGAGAGTAGGCCGGGGGGACTTACTTGGGGTCCGGCCTGTCCGGCCCATCCGCCCTGATTGAAAGACTCCGCACTATCACTGGCGTCCTGCTTGTCTTCGGCGGGGAGGGGCAAGGAGGGGCAGGCCGGCAGACGCGAGCCGATCCAGGGATCTCTGCGCGTCTCCTCTTCTGATCACTCTTCCCTTAATTAAACGTCATGCCCCCGTGCCGCCGCCGAGCGGATTTGGTGGCCTTGCCACGGGCGGCCCCATCGATGGATGACAAGAGGCGAGCGCGGCCCTCGCTTGGCGTGGCGTGGCGTGGCTCGGCGTGCCTCAAGTTGCCGCCGAGCTCCAGGAGCGCGGCGGCGGCGCCATTCCAAACGTCGCTGAAGCTGCCATAGCCATGAAATCGACTTTTCGTTCGAGTCAGCTGTCGCCGTTCAGTCGCCCGATGCTGTTCCAATATAATTTGTCTGGAGTGTGATGACAAAAGTTGGGTCGGGAATGTGGGGAGCGGCAGCCAGCGCCAGGGTGCGTTGGGCCGAGACGGCCGAGGGGCGGTCCGGCGAGAAGCAGAACGCTACCTAATTAACGGCAGTGAGGGCGTGGACAGCCCGGCGGCTCCAGGACTTTCAAGGGGCCGCGCACAGTGGGCCAGAAGACCGGAGGAGGTGCACTGAAATTCAAAGGGTGAGACATCTGACCGATTTTCGGTGATACAAAAAGTATGACCGAAAAACGGTCATACACAAATGTATGACCGAAAAACGGTCATACACAAATGTATGACCGAAAAACGGTCATACTTAAATGTATGACCAAAGAAAAGGTCAGACATCAGCGAGACTGGCTATTGTTTAGCTTGGGGATATATCAGCCTTTACCCGTGATACACTATAAAGTATGACCGTTTTCCGGTCATACATAGAAGTATGACCGTTTTTCGGTCATACATCGAAGTATGACCGTTTTTTTGGCCATACATCGAAGTATGACCGTTTTTCGGTCGTACATTTCAGTAAGACCGTTTAAGCGGTCAAAAGTATGACCTTTCTATTTTCAGTGTGGACAAAACTCTGGACGCGTTTTGAGCCTCAGAGTCGCTGAATGGGACTCGAAACGAACGCGTGACCCCACCAATTTGCTCTCTGAACGAGGAATCCATTGGTGGGGTCTGTTGGTGTGGTGAGGCCTGATTGGCGACCCTGGAGCTCAAAACGCGTCTAGAGTTTTGGCCGCCTCCACCGGTCTTCTGGCCCACTGTGCCACGGCACGGGAAAGCCGCAAGGCAAACGCGATAAAGGTGTCCTGGAGAGCACGCCCCAGTTCGGACGGCCAGTTCGGACGGCCTTTGAAGAACATGAGGTGCCCGGAGGTGGCTGGTGTCCTGGCCGTGTCTTCTGCCGCCCTGCCAGGCTGCCTGCGCGGTGTGTCGGTCCTCGCAGACCGAGAGGAGAGAGAAACTTCCTTCCCACGCGTGCCCGCACCGCGCCCTCCGGGTCGCCACTCATTGCTTGAAAGTGAAAACCTGCCCCTTTAGGGCCCTTTGATCCTTCCAGTCGCGGCTACTCCAAGGGCGCGAAAGCAAACGACGCTCTCAAATCCCGCCAGGTGAGCGCACCGCGCGACGGGCTGGGCTGCTCGCGCGGAGTGGCAGGCATGCCGTGGCGCCGCGGCAACGAGACCAATTTCTTTTTAACCGCCGCCGGGCCGGGGCCGGGGAGCGAGAGTGGAGCAGCGCCGCCAACTTAATTTGAGGCGCTTCGGGCGGCGCGCACGAGCACACACCGGGGGATTATGGCACCTCGGCCTCGGCACGCGGGACGGGACCCTGCCGCTGCGTACAGGCGCCGAGGAAAAAGAGGCCTGTGCAAATGCAAACGCGACGCCTCGTCTCGCTCCGCCACCTGCAGCACGCCCTGCCCGGTGCTTGCGCGTGCTTGCGGCTCGCCTGGACGGCATCCCCCTTCCCTTCCCCCACGCCAGTGCACACGGGCACGGGTTCGCCGAGGGAGGTCAATCGGACTCTGCAGTGCGTGCCGCGCGGTGCTGCGTATGGGCGAGAGGGTCAGCCAAGGCAAGCCGAGCCACCGAGCACGGCCTGGCGCCCCCAGCCCGCTTTTATGTGGCCAGGCCTCGCCCGGCCCTTTACAGGCAGTATAAATAAACCCCGTGGCCTGCATACAAAGAACCGATTTCCAAGTCGATTCGGGCG